AATTGCAGAAAGAAAAGAAAAGTTGGAATTAAGCAGAGCCTAGTTAAAAGGTGTTGTTTGCTTAGTGGCCACAGACTAATTTCAGTTTGCTAAGTCTTTTTTGCCTTATTTTTAAGTCACGGTGTCTTGCTTGACTTTCTACGGCTGACGAATTAATAGATATGTGACTGTCCTTGGAATGATTGCTCCTTTAAATATGTTGCTTGGTATTTACATGACTCTTGTTTCCTAGTTCCAGGCATGGGTGCACCACTAGGCATAAGAGAGTATCCACCAGGTGTTCTACCCGGGAAATGGGACCTGCCTGTTGACCCTCGGCAGTTTTTACTAGGACACGCACCATTTAGACCTCCAGGTTCACTTGGTCCAAGAGAATTTTTATTCCTGGTACCCGTTTACCACCTCCAACCCATGGTCCTCAGGACTACCCGCTGCCACAACCTGCTGCAAGAGACTTACTGCCTTCCGGCCCAAGAGAGGAAGCCCCACCTGTCTCTCCAAGCAGTGTCCAAGACAGTTCACCGCCTTCAAAACCTAACCCCTAACTTTGTCCTCTATCACTGAGTCAGAGTGGAAGAGAGAGCGGACATTGCATTGTTCATTAAAGCAAAGAATTCCATCAGCTTCATAACCTAAATTCTTGCTTAAAAAACATTTTAGTACTAAGCAGCCTTGGCAGTGTGCATTTTTGAGCCAAACAAAATTATATTCTTCCTTGTACATAAAAAAACAAAAAACAAAACTCACTTCATATGACTACGTCATTTCACCTTTGAAATGTGCAATAGAGAAACCTGTTTTTTGTTTATGTGGCATATGTAATTGCTGGATGCTAGCTAAGCAATAGTGTAGAGACCACTTCGAATGCCCATTCCTGATAGTGACCTTGATGTCTATCACCATCCTGGAGCCTTCTTCCAGTGACTGATGGAAGCAGAGGCAAACACCCACAGTTAAACACTGAACTGAACCCAAGGAACCCAGCGACAGAGAGAGAGGATTGAAGAGCAAATTGGTAAAGAATGGGCTGGCAAAACCAGCAGAGACAGCTGATCCAAACAGGGGAGAGCTCTTGGACCCCAGACTAACAGCTGGGAGGCCAGCATGGGACCAATCCAGTTCCCCTGAATGTGAGAGTCAATGAGGAGACCTGGGCTACCTATGGAGTCCTGAGCAGTGGATCAGTGTTTATCCCTCGAATACTAATAGACTTCATGTGTCCATAACACAAAGAGGGTTGCTGTCTCAGCCTGGACTCTTAGGGAAGTGCCTGGACCCTACCCTGAGTGAAATGATAGACTCTAGATATCCCCTATGTGGAAGGAAATGGCAATAGGGTGGGAGGATTGGGGGATGGTAGAGGGGTGGGGAAGGAAGGGAGGGAGAGGGAACTGGGATTGACATGTAAAACAAGCTATTTAAAATTAAAATTAAAATTAAAAATTAAAAATAGAATATCCTAAAGTATGAACATTTCCTGTGGAAATGCTTTCAGAACATGTATGACCATGGCCTGGGTCTAGTGTGTACCAGCAGATGCAGAGCAAGGGGCTCACAGCTCCATCTGTGTCTCTGAGACTGTCACGCTAACAACATTTCCTCAAGGATCATAAACTCTCCTGTGTGGCTGAAGTTCTTTGTAGTGATAGTTCATAAACTTTGTTTATTGGTATTTTCCAAGTGTCTGTTGATTCTTTGGGATGTTTTGAGACATGTACCATTGGGGAACCTGACAACTGGGCTTCTGGAACCTCCGTGCTGGGTGTGCACACTCCATGTGGCACTGCTAAGATCTCCAGAGTCACCAGAGAACTCTCCAGGACTTCTTCCTCCTATTCAAATGAGATGCAGCCCCACCTGTCCTACCTTGATGCTTCTTGATGCTCTCTGCCTGCTGGGAACGATTTTCTGCATAGAAGTTTACATTAGTGTCAAGAATTATTTGGAGCTGGATGTGGTGGTGCACACCTTTATTCTAGCTATTGAGAGGCAGAAGCAGGTGGATCTCTGTGAGTAACATGACAGCCAGGGCTACATAGAGCCTGTCCTACAAAAGTGAGGAAAAATTATTTGGTCCAGCAATATGGCTCATCAGGTAAAGGCATTTACTGCCAAGCCTGGCAGCTTGAGTTTGATCCCCAGAGTCCCCCAGTAATGAGAACCAACTCCCACATCTTGTCCATTGAAATATATACACACACCTCAAAAACCTGTGTGGGGGGTGGTTAAATTATAAATTTTTGAACCTCAAGTTTTCTTGCTTTGTTTTTTTCCAGGCAGGGTTTCTCTGTATTATTTTGGAGCCTGTCGTGGTATTTACTTGGTAGACTTGGCTGGTATGGAACTCACAGACTTCACCTGTCTCTGCCTCCAGAGTGCAGGGAATAAAGGCTTGTGCCACCAATGCCTGGCCATGTTTTGTTGCTCTTCAAACTATTCTTGTACTAAGGGTACATAACAAGATAAAAATCATATGCCATGACTGTAAGAATTTTTTTATGAAAGAAATATATATTCTATTCTCTCTCACATCACCTTGCAGCTGGTTTTCAAACAATATAACAGACAAGAATCAGGAAGCTGTCAGGAGGCAGAATGATTGCAAACTGGAAACTTACCTATGTCTTCAGTCCACAACTCCGGACTGAATCCAACTCTATGTTTGCTTTGAGATAGGGTCTCATTCTGTATGCCTGCCTGGCCTCAGACTCTCAGTGATCCTCCTCTCTCAGCTCCTAGAGGCTGGGATTTCAGGCTTGAGCCACCTTGCCTAGATTAATTCTCTAGCAGATAGCATTCAAAGTTAATATTCAAATATATGTGCTTTTATTAATACATCTGGTTTTGCATCATGTAAAGTCTGGCATCCCTTTTACGCTGACTTAAAACAACTGGTTCACTCAATATATAGGATACTGGGCAGCAAATTATGGAGGAGCTGTAATATGTAAGCTGTAAAAGGTGGAAACTGCTTATTGCGATGCTGTGTTCCATAAGGTCCTTAAAAGTCACAATATTGAAGCCTCGGATCTTGCATGCTGGGATGTTAAATCCGAGTGGGTATTTTGAAAAATGAACAAAAGTTTCAATGTGAAATAAAATGGCTTCAACAACTGAAGACATGATATAAAAAGACAAGCTCTCCTAATGCAGGAAGTACCAAGGCAGTCTCTAAGGCCTCCAGTAAGAGTTCAATATGCCTAGCCCATTCTGAAATTACACATAATTTTATATAAGAAAATACCACAGGACAGTGTATTTCATTAATAATTATTTTTACTCTATGCCTATGTGTTTTGCCTGTATGTATGTAAGTATAACTCATGTATGTCTGTTGCTCATGGTTCCAGAAGGGGGTGCCAGATCCCGTATAACCAGAGTTATAGGCAGTTGTGAGCCACCATGTATTTGGGTGCTGGGAACTGAACCCTGGTCCTCAGTAGGAACAGCAAGTGCTCTTAACCCCTGAACCATCTCTTATGCCCCTAGTATATGCCATTATTTACTCTTATAAAATAAGACTTAATTGCAAATACATCTTCTGGAATATACATACCATACTCAAAGTAATATTATTAAATTAATACAATTTGAAATTTTCACTATAGTTTTTGCTTCTTTTTTATTTTTCAGTTTAATTTAGATTACAAACAAGGTTGGTTCACCAGCCAGTTCCAGGTCCCTCTCCCTTTCCCTCCCCTCTTCCCGTGCCCTCCCCCCAACCCACCCATTATCCCCTCATTCCCCCAGGGAGGATGAGGTCCTCCATGGGGTGTCCAAAGTCTGTCATTTCATATAGGGCAGGGCTTAGACCTTTCACCACGAGTTCAGGGTGAGAGTGCATCTCACATTGTTGGATGGGAGTCCAAAGTCCGTGTGTATACTCGGGATAGGTACTGATCTGCTGCCCAAGGCTCAATAGATTACCTAGGCCTCCTCACTGACACCCACATTCAGGAGGTCTTGGTCAGTCCTATGCTGGATTCCCTGGCTGATGCCTGGGTTTCACTATTTTTTTTAAGACAGGGTCACACCTATGTATCTCAGTCTTTCTCAATTTGATATGCTACCTCACTATCTCAGCTACATTAGTTTAGATGGCATATAACGTATAGATTATAGCAGCTAAGAAGACAAATTGTAAAGCTAAGTAATGACATCCCGCTGTATCTAAATGTAAACGGGCAAATTTCCCCTCTAAAGCCCTTTGGTTATCCTGCTAAGTATCATAAACACCATCAGGAAGATGAGGAAAAACTCCAGTGTGCTGTATCTGGGCAGGTCTAAGCCAGTCAACACTGCCTTTCTTCAATGCCATCTGATTGTACATCCTATGCTACATAGGCAGTAACAGGGCGTCTGCCTACGGATGGCACAGAGGTCACCATACCTCATTTGAACCACTTTTCCATTTCAAAAGTTACTTTGTCAGAAGCTGCCCCCAGGGATCTAACTGTCCCTGGGCTGAGCGGCTACACTGTCAGTAGGAGCAGTACTTCAGCCTGAGAGCATTCCTGTCAGAGCACAGGCTATTTTTCTAGGGCAGATCTTTCAGTGCAGTGGAAACTTGTGAAATGTGGAATGCTCTGTATTTACTGCTTTAAGACAGTCTTGTCATTCAAGTCTGAATTACAGCCAAGCTTATACCACCATGTTCCCTAGCTCTCTCTACCCCTGATGGCAGGCATCTCTACTTCATATAAACACGTTGATGTGATCCAAAGATTCTGTTGCACAGGAACTTACCACTTTGACATTTGTCTTATGGTCTGTGAGAATCAGAAAACACGATGTACAGTCTTTGTACATTTTAATAATAGTAGATTTGAAGAGATAATTTTTAGGTATAGTAAGCAGCATCAGACAGAAGGTACTGTGTACTCCTCAGTACAGAGTTCCAGCCGGGGTGCTGAGTACTGGAGGGGTGGATCAGTGGTTAGCAGCACCTGCTGCAGTTCCAGAAGACCAAAGTTCACACTTCATAGCACCAACATGGCAGCTCTCAAAACCTTTAACTACAGTCCCAGCATATCAGACACCCTCTCCTGGCCTCCATGGGAACTGCACACAGGTGGTACATATACATAACATGCAGGCAAAATACGAATGCACATAAAATAAAGGAAAATAATCTAGAAATAAATTTACAGAAAGTGGGGAAGTTGTTGTCTCAATACTTTTGGCCTGCATCAACTGTAATTGATATATTGAGACCCCCGTTTGGGACTGCAGGCATGAGCTACCTCACCTAGCAGATCGATTTGTAGTGCTGCTCTTTAGTTAAGAGTTGAGACCTAGGACCAATATGTTGATTACCCCTGAAAACCCCATGTCAAGGGCTCCAATGTTTCTCTCTCAAGGGTCGTTGGACAGGAATGTACCTCGCCCTCCCGGGCCATCAGAGGCATCTGGACAACACTCTGCTTCTGGTAAGGAAGGACTTTCTGAGCCTCCTGCATTGTGGTAACTTCATTCTTCTCAGACCACCTGACAAGGTGAGTCTAAGTCAGTCTCCTGCCTCTTGCAGACCCAGGTCCAGGACCCATGATGAACAGCAGCTCCAGGAGCTCTTCTCCAGCAAAGGCCATTGAGGAGAGCAAGGTACGTTCTGCAGGCTGTGAGTAGTCCCTACTCTTCCCTGTCTCCTCTCTTGTTCATGTGTCTCTTTGTTTCTGTAAAAGCAAACTGTTCCCCAAGATCCTGACAGCCCCTCGTTTTCCCGCATCGCCCCTTTATTTAGCTCAGCATACACTAGCAGTAAGTGTTTAGAGACTGAGAGCCAGAGTGGGCTTTGGTTTTGCTGGCTTCGTCCTTACAGCTTTGAAAATCATGACACTTGTCCCCTTCACCATCTATCCAGTATAACTCCAGTGATCCTTGACTTTGGAGTGTCACCGAGCCAGCGTTGTTTCTTGGTGTCCTCTTTCCTGTTTGACTTAAATTACTAACCAGTTGAGAGCACTTGCAGTACCTATGACCACACAAGTGACCTGCTTGGAACTGTGCTTCTGGAACCCAGGCATCTGTGCACCAGGCACACTGTTTTGAGTCACATGGAAGCAGACTGCTTACAAACAGGAATGTGTGTGTGCCTTCTCTTGATCAGGTCCTGAGCAGTGGCTGGGTTACTGGTTCAGTGCTCACTACAGCGTGTACTCTTGGGACATGTGTGGTGACTGCAGTTGTTTAGCCCTCTGCCCTATACTAACACATTGTGGAAATCCCTGTCCTGTAATGTAGAGTTGCCAGATGTCGAAGGCCATTCCTCGAGCTGTCTTCCTAATGACGAACATAAACTGTGCAGGGAAGACTGTGAAGCCTAGGCCAAGGCTCCAGGGATGTGCATGTCTTGAGTCTTCGTCCAGGCCATGCTAGGTGGGACACAGAGGCTTTTCCAGACTTCCCAGAGTGCAGACCTCAAGTATGGAGCGTTGGGAAGCACCCAGCCTTGGAGTGCAGCCTGGTATCTGAGTTCTAGCCTGTCCTACATGTAGTCTGACCCCCAATCGGCTCGACTCCTCTTGCCTTTGCTTACACAAGTTTACACCAGGATACTCACACAGACGTTAAGATCAAACTTTGGATCATACAGTGAAGACCTATTGATGATGCCCTGATGGTTGCTGTTACTGCTTGTGTACTGAATGTATTTTCATTCTGTTCCCTGTGCTCTCCCTATGTACATGTGGGGTTACAGTGATGAGAGAGAGTATTTCTTTTGTATGGATTGCAGTGCGTATGGCATGACCCGAGCCACAGTCACTTCTTAGGAAGGGTCCCCTTCCTGAGTTGATAGCAAGCAGTAAGCCCAGTCACAGTTTGCAGCATCCTTCTGACCTCTGAGTTGTCAATGGCAACATGGGGTGAGGTGTTGTGTTACGCCGAGGATTCTTTGGACAGCTGCCAGTTTACTACTCTTGGCACCATGTAAAAGCATTTGCAAACTTTGTTTCTTTTCTACAGGTTAACATGGCTCCCAGAGGGCCCCCTCCGTTTCCAGGGGTACCTCTCTTTGGTGACCCTTTGAGAAGTCCGGTGCCACCACCCTATCCTTATGGACCACCTCCTCAGCCATGGGGGCCTTTTGGGCCTCGGCCAGTGCCTCCACCATTTGGTATGTTGACATGAATAGTGCTGACTTTTAAAACATACTCATCACTTCTGTTCCTTGCTAAAGTAATTGTTACCATAGAGCTTTCCAATTGAGGATGCAGCTGAGAGTGCATTGTAACCTATCCCCAATCTTCTGGGCACTTACAGGTTCTATTTTATTTCCATAAGGTGAGTTGGGTGTGGCTGGATGGGAAAGCCAGTAATGTTTCCTGTGAAGGTGCATTGGAACACCATACTATTATATATGGAAAGGATGGGTGAGACATGTCATCGTGTCCTGTAGGCCACAAATACCAATAGAAGCATGAGCCACTGGTCTCAGAATATAGATAGGAAAGCTATAGGATCCCTTCTGCCTGAGACCAGATAGAAGACTGCTGTTACAGAGAACACACTAGGATCCTAGTGAATGCACATTAATGTGAGTTCATCTCCTTGCTGTAGTTTGGCCCCATGAACTTTCAGTTGACACAGGGGTAGGCCTTTACCAACTTTGTTGCAGTGAATGTGTTTCATAGTGTATCTGTGTTTTCACTATTTTCATGGCCTGGCATATTCTGAATGGAGCTGTTCTGAAATGTAGAATTGCAGAAAGAAAAGAAAAGTTGGAATTAAGCAGAGCCTAGTTAAAAGGTGTTGTTTGCTTAGTGGCCACAGACTAATTTCAGTTTGCTAAGTCTTTTTTGCCTTATTTTTAAGTCACGGTGTCTTGCTTGACTTTCTACGGCTGACGAATTAATAGATATGTGACTGTCCTTGGAATGATTGCTCCTTTAAATATGTTGCTTGGTATTTACATGACTCTTGTTTCCTAGTTCCAGGCATGGGTGCACCACTAGGCATAAGAGAGTATCCACCAGGTGTTCTACCCGGGAAATGGGACCTGCCTGTTGACCCTCGGCAGTTTTTACTAGGACACGCACCATTTAGACCTCCAGGTTCACTTGGTCCAAGAGAATTTTTTATTCCTGGTACCCGTTTACCACCTCCAACCCATGGTCCTCAGGACTACCCGCTGCCACAACCTGCTGCAAGAGACTTACTGCCTTCCGGCCCAAGAGAGGAAGCCCCACCTGTCTCTCCAAGCAGTGTCCAAGACAGTTCACCGCCTTCAAAACCTAACCCCTAACTTTGTCCTCTATCACTGAGTCAGAGTGGAAGAGAGAGCGGACATTGCATTGTTCATTAAAGCAAAGAATTCCATCAGCTTCATAACCTAAATTCTTGCTTAAAAAACATTTTAGTACTAAGCAGCCTTGGCAGTGTGCATTTTTGAGCCAAACAAAATTATATTCTTCCTTGTACATAAAAAAACAAAAAACAAAACTCACTTCATATGACTACGTCATTTCACCTTTGAAATGTGCAATAGAGAAACCTGTTTTTTGTTTATGTGGCATATGTAATTGCTGGATGCTAGCTAAGCAATAGTGTAGAGACCACTTCGAATGCCCATTCCTGATAGTGACCTTGATGTCTATCACCATCCTGGAGCCTTCTTCCAGTGACTGATGGAAGCAGAGGCAAACACCCACAGTTAAACACTGAACTGAACCCAAGGAACCCAGCGACAGAGAGAGAGGATTGAAGAGCAAATTGGTAAAGAATGGGCTGGCAAAACCAGCAGAGACAGCTGATCCAAACAGGGGAGAGCTCTTGGACCCCAGACTAACAGCTGGGAGGCCAGCATGGGACCAATCCAGTTCCCCTGAATGTGAGAGTCAATGAGGAGACCTGGGCTACCTATGGAGTCCTGAGCAGTGGATCAGTGTTTATCCCTCGAATACTAATAGACTTCATGTGTCCATAACACAAAGAGGGTTGCTGTCTCAGCCTGGACTCTTAGGGAAGTGCCTGGACCCTACCCTGAGTGAAATGATAGACTCTGGATATCCCCTATGTGGAAGGAAATGGCAATAGGGTGGGAGGATGGGGGGATGGTAGAGGGGTGGGGAAGGAGGGGAGGGAGAGGGAACTGGGATTGACATGTAAAACAAGCTATTTAAAATTAAAATTAAAATTAAAAATTAAAAATAGAATATCCTAAAGTATGAACATTTCCTGTGGAAATGCTTTCAGAACATGTATGACCATGGCCTGGGTCTAGTGTGTACCAGCAGATGCAGAGCAAGGGGCTCACAGCTCCATCTGTGTCTCTGAGACTGTCACGCTAACAACATTTCCTCAAGGATCATAAACTCTCCTGTGTGGCTGAAGTTCTTTGTAGTGATAGTTCATAAACTTTGTTTATTGGTATTTTCCAAGTGTCTGTTGATTCTTTGGGATGTTTTGAGACATGTACCATTGGGGAACCTGACAACTGGGCTTCTGGAACCTCCGTGCTGGGTGTGCACACTCCATGTGGCACTGCTAAGATCTCCAGAGTCACCAGAGAACTCTCCAGGACTTCTTCCTCCTATTCAAATGAGATGCAGCCCCACCTGTCCTACCTTGATGCTTCTTGATGCTCTCTGCCTGCTGGGAACGATTTTCTGCATAGAAGTTTACATTAGTGTCAAGAATTATTTGGAGCTGGATGTGGTGGTGCACACCTTTATTCTAGCTATTGAGAGGCAGAAGCAGGTGGATCTCTGTGAGTTACATGACAGCCAGGGCTACATAGAGCCTGTCCTACAAAAGTGAGGAAAAATTATTTGGTCCAGCAATATGGCTCATCAGGTAAAGGCATTTACTGCCAAGCCTGGCAGCTTGAGTTTGATCCCCAGAGTCCCCCAGTAATGAGAACCAACTCCCACATCTTGTCCATTGAAATATATACACACACCTCAAAAACCTGTGTGGGGGTGGTTAAATTATAAATTTTTGAACCTCAAGTTTTCTTGCTTTGTTTTTTTCCAGGCAGGGTTTCTCTGTATTATTTTGGAGCCTGTCGTGGTATTTACTTGGTAGACCTGGCTGGTATGGAACTCACAGACTTCACCTGTCTCTGCCTCCAGAGTGCAGGGAATAAAGGCTTGTGCCACCAATGCCTGGCCATGTTTTGTTGCTCTTCAAACTATTCTTGTACTAAGGGTACATAACAAGATAAAAATCATATGCCATGACTGTAAGAATTTTTTTATGAAAGAAATATATATTCTATTCTCTCTCACATCACCTTGCAGCTGGTTTTCAAACAATATAACAGACAAGAATCAGGAAGCTGTCAGGAGGCAGAATGATTGCAAACTGGAAACTTACCTATGTCTTCAGTCCACAACTCCGGACTGAATCCAACTCTATGTTTGCTTTGAGATAGGGTCTCATTCTGTATGCCCGCCTGGCCTCAGACTCTCAGTGATCCTCCTCTCTCAGCTCCTAGAGGCTGGGATTTCAGGCTTGAGCCACCTTGCCTAGATTAATTCTCTAGCAGATAGCATTCAAAGTTAATATTCAAATATATGTGCTTTTATTAATACATCTGGTTTTGCATCATGTAAAGTCTGGCATCCCTTTTACGCTGACTTAAAACAACTGGTTCACTCAATATATAGGATACTGGGCAGCAAATTATGGAGGAGCTGTAATATGTAAGCTGTAAAAGGTGGAAACTGCTTACTGCGATGCTGTGTTCCATAAGGTCCTTAAAAGTCACAATATTGAAGCCTCGGATCTTGCATGCTGGGATGTTAAATCCGAGTGGGTATTTTGAAAAATGAACAAAAGTTTCAATGTGAAATAAAATGGCTTCAACAACTGAAGACATGATATAAAAAGACAAGCTCTCCTAATGCAGGAAGTTCCAAGGGAGTCTCTAAGCCCTCCAGTAATAGTTCAATATGCCTAGCCCATTCTGAAATTACACATAATTTTATATAAGAAAATACCACAGGACAGTGTATTTCATTAATAATTATTTTTACTCTATGCCTATGTGTTTTGCCTGTATGTATGTAAGTATAACTCATGTATGTCTGTTGCTCATGGTTCCAGAAGGGGGTGCCAGATCCCGTATAACCAGAGTTATAGGCAGTTGTGAGCCACCATGTATTTTGGTGCTGGGAACTGAACCCTGGTCCTCTGCAAGAACAGCAAATGCCATTAACCCTTGAACCATCACTTATATCCATAGCATATGCCATTATTTACTATTACAAAAATAAGACTAAATTGCAAATACATCTTCTGGAATATATGTACCATACTCAAAGTAATATTATTACATTAATACAATTTGAAATTTTCACTATTTTTATAAGACAGTGTCTCACCTATGTATCCCAGTCTTTCTCAATTTGATATGCTACCTCACTATCTCAGCTACATTAGTCTGGATGACATATAAAGTATAGATTGTAGCAGCTAAGGAGACAATTTGTAAAGCTAAGTAATGACATCCCCCTTTATCTAAATGTAAAACGGGAATATTTCTCCTCTAAAGCCCTTTGGTTATCCTGCTAAGTATCATAAACACCATCGGGAAGATATAGAAAAACCCCAGTGTGCTGTATCTGGGCAGTCTAAGCCAGTCAACACTGCCTTTCTTCAATGCCATCTGATTGTAAATCCTATGCTACAAACCCCATAATAAGGCGACAGCCTTCGGGTGGCACAGAGGTCACCATACCTCATTTGAACCACTTTTCCATTTCAAAAGTTACTTTGTCAGAAGCTTCCCCCAGGATCTAACTGTCTCTGGGCTGAGCGGCTACACTGTCAGTAGGAGCAGTACTTCAGCCTGAGAGCATTCCTGTCAGAGCAAAGGCTGTTTTTCTAGGGCAGATCTTTCAGTGCAACTGAAACTTGTGAAATGTGGAATGCTCTGTGTTTACTGCTTTAAGACAGTCTTGTCATTCAAGTCTGAGTTACAGCCAAGCTTGTACCACCATGTTCCCTAGGGCTCTCTGCCCCTAATGGCAGGCATCTCTACTTCATATAAACACATTCATGTGATCCATCGATGCTGCTGCACAGGAACTTACCACTTTGACATTTGTCTTATGGTCTGTGAGAATCAGAGAGCAAGATGCACAGTCTTTGTACATTTTAACAATAGTAGCTTTGAAGGGATTATTTTTAGGTATAGTAAGCAGCATCAGACAGAAGGTACTGTGTACTCCTCAGTACAGAGTACCAGCCGGAGTACTGAGTACTAGAGGGGTGGATCAGTGGTTAGCAGCACCTGCTGCAGTTCCAGAAGACCAAAGTTCACACTTCATAGCACCAACATGGCCGCTCCCAAACACCTTTAACTACAGTCCAAGCGGATCAGACACCCTCTCCTGGCCTCCATGTGTACTGCACACAGGTGGTGCATATACATAACACTCAGGCAAGACACCTATATACATAAAATAGAGGAAAATAATCTAGAAATAAATTTACAGAAACTGGGGAAGTTGTTGTCTCAATACTCTTGGCCTGCATCAACTGTAACTGATATATTGAGACCCCCGTTTGGGACTGCAGGCATGAGCTACCTCACCTAGCAGATCGATTTGTAGTGCTGCTCTTTAGTTAAGAGTTGAGACCTAGGACCAATATGTTGATTGCCCCTGAAAACCCCATGTCAAGGGCTCCAATGTTTCTCTCTCAAGGGTTGTTGGACAGGAATGTACCTCGCCCTCCCGGGCCATCAGAGGCATCTGGACAACACTCTGCTTCTGGTAAGGGACCCTAGGACTTTCTGAGCCTCCTGCATGTGGGACCTTCATTCTTCTCAGACCACATGACAGGGTGAGTCTAAGTCAGTCTCCTGCCTCTTGCAGACCCAGGTCCAGGACCCATGATGAACAGCAGCTCCAGGAGCTCTTCTCCAGCAAAGGCCATTGAGGAGAGCAAGGTACGTTCTGCAGGCTGTGAGTAGTCCCTACTCTTTCCTGTCTCCTCTCTTGTTCATGTGTCTCTTTGTTTCTGTAAAAGCAAACTGTTCCCCCAATATCCTGACAGCCCCTCGTTTTCCTGCATCGCCCCTTTAGCTGAGTATACACTAGCAGTAAGTGTTTAGAGACTAAGGGCCAGAGGGGGCTGTCGCATCCGAGATAATACAGCTAAGGCCTACTGATGCTGCCCTGTAGGGTTGCTATTACTGCTTTTATACTGAATGTATTTTCATTGTGTTCCCTGTACTCTTACTATGTACATGTGGGATTACAGTGATGAGAGAGAGTATTTCTTTTGTACAGTTTGCAGTGTGTATGGCATGACCCGGGTCACAATCACTTCTTATGAAGCTGATGGTCCTCTGGCTTCTCCCTTTCCTGTGCTTATAGCAAGCAGTAAGCCAATCACGGCTTGCAGCATCCACTTGACCTCTGAGTTGTCACTGGCAACATGGGGTGAGGTGTTGTGTTACACCGAGGATTCTTTGGACAGCTGCCAGTTTACTACTTTGGGTGCCATGTAAAAGCATTTGCAAACTTTGTTTCTATTCTACAGGGTGAAATGGCTCCGAGAGGGCCCCCTCCGTTTCCAGCGGTGCCTCTCTGTGGTGACCCTTTGAGAAGTCGGGTACCACCGCCCTATCTTTATGGACCACCTCCTGAGCCATGGGGGCCTTTTGGGCCTCGGCCAGTGCCTCCACCATTTGGTATGTTGATCTGAATAGTGCTGACTTGTAAAACATACTCATCACTTCTGTTCCTTGACAAAGTAGTTGCTACCATAGAGCTTTCCAATTGAGGATGCAGCTGAGAGTGCATTGTAACCTATCCCCAATCTTCTGGGCACTTACAGGTTCTGTTTAATCTCCCTAAAGTCAGTTAGGTGTGGCTGGATGGGAAATCCAGTAATGTTTCCTGTGAAGGTACATTGGAACACCATACTATTATATATGGAAAAGATGGGTGAGACATGTCATCGTGTCCTGTAGGTCACAAATGCCAACAGAAGCATGAGCCACTGGTCTCAGAATATAGATAGGAAAGCTATAGGATCCCTTCTGCCTGAGACCTGATAGAAGACAGCTGTTACAGAGAACACACTAGGATCCTAGTGAATGCACATTAATGGGAGTTCATCTCCTTGCTGTAGTTTGGCCCCATGAACTTTCAGTTGACACAGGGGTAGACCTTTACCAACTTTGTTGCAGTGAATGTGTTTCATAGTATATCTGTGTTTTCACTATTTTCCTGGACTGGCTTAATCTTAATGGAGCTGTTCTGAAATGCAGAATTGCAGAGTGAAAAGAAAAGTTGGAATTAAGCAGAGCCGGGTTAAAAGGTGTTGTTTGCTTAGTGGCCACAGACTAATTTCAGTATGCTAAGTCTTTTTTGCCTTATTTTTAAGTCACGGTGTCTTGCTTGACTTTCTACGGCTGACGAATTAATAGATATGTGACTGTCCTTGGAATGATTGCTCCTTTAAATATGTTGCTTGGTATTTACATGACTCTTGTTTCCAGGCATGGGTGCACCACTAGGCCTAAGAGAGTATCCACCAGGTGTTCTACCCGGGAAATGGGACCTGCCTGTTGACCCTCGGCAGTTTTTACTAGGACACGCACCATTTAGACCTCCAGGTTCACTTGGTCCAAGAGAATTTTTTAATCCTGGTACCTGTTTACCACCTCCAACCCATGGTCCTCAGGACTACCCTCTGCCACAACCTGCTGCAAGAGACTTACAGCCTTCCGGCCCAAGAGAGGGAGCCCCACCTGTCTCTCCTAGCAGTGTCCAAGACAGTTCACCGCCTTCAAAACCCAACCCCTAACTTTGTCCTCTATCACTGAGTCAGAGTGGAAGAGAGAGCGGACATTGTATTGTTCATTACAGCAAAGAATTCCATCGGCTTGAATACCTTAAAGTTTGCTATAAAGAATTTGTTTTTTGTACTAAGCTGCCTTGGCGGTATGCATTTTTGAGCCAAACAAAAATATATTCTCCATTCTAAGTAAAAAACAAAAAATCACTTCTAATGCCAATGTCCTTCCAACTTTGAAATGTGCAATGAAGAATACCTGTGTTTAGTTTATGTACCATATGTAATTGCTGGATGATTTAGAATATCCTAAAGTATGAACATTTCCTGTGGAAATGCTTTCAGAACATGTATGACCATGGCCTGGGTCTAGTGTGTACCAGCAGATGCAGAGCAAGGGGCTCACAGCTCCATCTGTGTCTCTGAGACTGTCACGCTAACAACGTTTCCTCAAGGATCATAAACTCTCCTGTGTGGCTGAAGTTCTTTGTAGTGATAGTTCATAAACTTTGTTTATTGGTATTTTCCAAGTGTCTGTTGATTCTTTGGGATGTTTTGAGACATGTGCCATTTGGGAAACCTGACAACTGGGCTTCTGGAACCTCCGTGCTGGGTGTGCACACTCCATGTGGCACTGCTAAGATCTCCAGAGTCACCAGAGAACTCTCCAGGACTTCTTCCTCCTATTCAAATGAGATGCAGCCCCACCTGTCCTACCTTGATGCTTCTTGATGCTCTCTGCCTGCTGGGACCCATTTTCTACATAGAAGTTTACATTAGTGTCAAGAATTATTTGGAGCTGGATGTGGTGGTGCACACCTGTAATCCTAGCTACTGAGAGACAGAAGCAGGTGCATCTCTGTGAGTTACATGACAGCCTATATAGATACTGTCCTACAAAAGGGAGTAAAAAATTATTTGGTCCAGCAATATGGCTCATCAAGTAAAGGCATTTACTGCCAAGCCTGGCAGCTTGAGTTTGATCCCAGAGTCACAAAGTAAAGAGAACCAACTCCCATAGATTCTTCTTTGACATACATACACACACATGTGTGAAAACGTTTGTGTGTGTTGGGGGTTATATTATAAATTTTTGGACCTCATGTTTTGTTGGTTTTTTGTTTGTTTTTGGTTTTTCCAGGCATTGTTTCTCTGTATTGTCTTGAAGCCTGTCTTGATAGTTGCTTGGTAGACCTGGCTGGTCTTGAACTCACAGAGATCGCCTTTCTCTGTCTCCGGAAAGCAGTGATGAAAGGCTTGTGCCACTAATCCCTGGCCATGTTTTGTTGCTCTTAAAACTATTCTTGTACTAAGGGTACATAACAAGATAAAAATCATATGCCATGACTGTAAGAATTTTTATGAAAGAAATATATATTCTATTCTCTCTCACATCACCTTGCAGCTGGTTTTCAAACAATATAACGAACAAGAATCAGGAAGCTGTCAGCAGGCAGAATGATTGCAAACTGGAAACTTACCTATGTCTTCAGTCCACAACTACGGCCTGAATCCAACTCTATGTTTGCTTTGAGATAGGGTCTCATTCTGTATGCCTGCCTGGCCTCAGACTCTCAGTGATCCTCCTCTCTCAGCTCCTAGAGGCTGGGATTTCAGGCTTGAGCCACCTTGCCTAGATTAATTCTCTAGCAGATAGCATTCAAAGTTAATATTCAAATATATGTGCTTTTATTAATACATCTGGTTTTGCATCATGTAAAGTCTGGCATCCCTTTTACGCTGACTTAAAACAACTGGTTCACTCAATATATAGGATACTGGGCAGCAAATTATGGAGGAGCTGTAATATGTAAGCTGTAAAAGGTGGAAACTGCTTACTGCGATGCTGTGTTCCATAAGGTCCTTAAAAGTCACAATATTGAAGCCTCGGATCTTGCATGCTGGGATGTTAAATCCGAGTGGGTATTTTGAAAAATGAACAAAAGTTTCAATGTGAAATAAAATGGCTTCAACAACTGAAGACATGATATAAAAAGACAAGCTCTCCTAATGCAGGAAGTACCAAGGCAGTCTCTAAGGCCTCCAGTAAGAGTTCAATATGCCTAGCCCATTCTGAAATTACACATAATTTTATATAAGAAAATACCACAGGACAGTGTATTTCATTAATAATTATTTTTACTCTATGCCTATGTGTTTTGCCTGTATGTATGTAAGTATAACTCATGTATGTCTGTTGCTCATGGTTCCAGAAGGGGGTGCCAGATCCCGTATAACCAGAGTTATAGGCAGTTGTGAGCCACCATGTATTTGGGTGCTGGGAACTGAACCCTGGTCCTCAGCAAGAACAGCCAGTGCTCTTAACCCCTGAACCATCTCTTATGCCCCTAGTATATGCCATTATTTACTCTTATAAAATAAGACTAAATTGCAAATACAGCTTCTGGAATATATGTACCATACTCAAAGTAATATTATTACATTAATACTATTTGAAATTTACACTATTTTTTAAGACAGGGTCTCACCTATGTATCCCAGTCTTTCTCAATTTGATATGCTACCTCACTATCTCAGCTACATTAGTTTGGATGACATATAGATTATAGCAGCTAAGGAGACATTTTGTAAAGCTCAGTAATGACATCCCCCTTTATCTAAATTTAAACGGGGATATTTCCCCTCTAAAGCCCTTTGGTTATCCTGCTATATATCATAAACACCATCGGGAAGATATAGAAAAACCCAGTGTGCTGTATCTGGGCAGTTCTAAGCCAGTCAACACTGCCTTTCTTCAATGCCATCTGATTGTAAATCCTATGCTACAAACCCCATAATAAGGCATCAGCCTTCGGATGGCACAGAGGACACCATCCCTCATTTGAACCACTTTTCCATTTCAAAAGTTCCTTTGTCAGAAGCAGCCCCCAGGTATCTAACTGTCTCTGGGCTGAGCGGCTACACTGTCAGTAGGAGCAGTACTTCAGCCTGAGAGCATTCCTGTCAGAGCAAAGGCTGTTTTTCTAGGGCAGATCTTTCAGTGCAGTGGAAACTTGTGATATGTGGAATGGTCTGAGTTTACTGCTTTAAGACAGTCTTGTCATTCAAGTCTGAATTACAGCCAAAATTATACCACCATGTTCCCTAGCTCGCTCTGCCCCTGATGGCAGGCATCTCTACTTCATATAAACATGTTGATGTGATCCATCGATTCTGCTGCACAGGAGCTTACCACTTTGATATCTGTCTTATGGTCTATGAGAATCAGAAAACACGATGTACAGTCTTTGTACATTTTAATAATAGTAGATTTGAAGAGATAATTTTTAGGTATAGTAAGCAGCATCAGACAGAAGGTACTGTGTACTCCTCAGTACAGAGTACCAGCCGGGGTACTGAGTACTGGAGGGGTGGATCAGTGGTTAGCAGCACCTGCTGCAGTTCCAGAAGACCAAAGTTCACACTTCATAGCACCAACATGGCAGCTCTCAAACACCTTTAACTACAGTCCCAGCATATCAGACACCCTCTCCTGGCCTCCATGGGAACTGCACACAGGTGGTACATAAACATAACACTCAGGCAAGGTACCTATATACATAAAATAGAGGAAAATAATCTAGAAATAAATTTACAGAAACTGGGGAAGTTGTTGTCTCAATACTTTTGGTATGCATCAACTGTAATTGATATATTGAGACCCCCCGTTTGGGACTGCAGGCATGAGCTACCTCACCTAGCAGATCTATTTGTAGCACTGCTCTTTAGTTAAGAGTTGAGACCTAGGACCAATATGTTGATTGCCCCTGAAAACCCCATGTCAAGGGCTCCAATGTTTCTCTCTCAAGGGTCGTTGGACAGGAATGTACCTTGCCCTCCTGGGCCATCAGAGGCATCTGGACAACACTCTGCTTCTGGTAAGGAAGGACTTTCTGAGCCTCCTGCATTGTGGGACCTTCATTCTTCTCAGACCACCTGACAAGGTGAGTCTAAGTCAGTCTCCTGCCTCTTGCAGACCCAGGTCCAGGACCCATGATGAACAGCAGCTCCAGGAGCTCTTCTCCAGCAAAGGCCATTGAGGAGACCAAGGTACGTTCTGCAGGCTGTGAGTAGTCCCTACTCTTTCCTGTCTCCTCTCTTGTTCATGTGTCTTTGTTTCTTTAAAAGCAAACTGTTCCCCAAGATCCTGACAGCCCCTCGTTTTCCTGCATCGCCCCTTTAGCTGAGTATACACTAGCAGTAAGTGTTTATATAGTGAGGGCCCGAGGGAGCTTTAGCATCTGAGATAATACAGCAAAGGCCTACTGATGCTGCCCTGTAGGGTTGCTATTACTGCTTGTGTACTGAATGTATTTTCATTGTGTTCCCTGTACTCTTACTATGTACATGTGGGATTACAGTGATGAGAGTATTTCTTTTGTACAGTTTGCAGTGTGTATGGCATGACCCGTGTCACAATCACTTCTTATGAAGCTGACGGTCCTCTGGTTTCTCCCTTTCCGGTGCTGATAGCAAGCAGTAAGCCAATCACGTGCTTGGCTTACTTGACCTCTGAGTTGTCACTGGCAACATGGGGTGAGGTGTTGTGTTACACCGAGGATTCTTTGGACAGCTGCCAGTTTACCACTTTTGGTGCCATGTAAAAGAATTTGCAAACTTTGTTTCTTTTCTACAGGGTAAAATGGCTCCCAGAGGGGGGCCCCTCCTTTTCCAGCGTTGCCTCTCTGTGGTTACCCTTTGAGAAGTCCGGTGCCACCACCCTATCCTTATGGACCACCTCCTCAGCCATGGGGGCCTTTTGGGCCTCGGCCAGTGCCTCCACCATTTGGTATGTTGACATGAATAGTGCTGACTTTTAAAACATACTCATCACTTCTGTTCCTTGACAAAGTAGTTGCTACCATAGAGCTTTCCAATTGAGGATGCAGCTGAGAGTGCATTGTAACCTATCCCCAATCTTCTGGGCACTTACAGGTTCTGTTTAATCTCCCTAAAGTCAGTTAGGTGTGGCTGGATGAGAAATCCAGTAATGTTTCCTGTGAAGGTGCATTGGAACACCATATTATTATACATGGAAAAGATGGGTGAGACATGTCATCGTGTCCTGTAGGTCACAAATGCCAACAGAAGCATGAGCCACTGGTCTCAGAATTTAGATAGGGAAGCTATAGGATCCCTTCTGCCTGAGACCAGATAGAAGACTGCTGTTACAGAGAACACACTAGGATCCTAGTGAATGCACATTAATGTGAGTTCATCTCCTTGCTGTAGTTTGGCCCCATGAACTTTCAGTTGACACAGGGGTAGGCCTTTACCAACTTTGTTGCAGTGAATGTGTTTCATAGTGTATCTGTGTTTTCACTATTTTCCTGTCCTGGCTTAATCTGAATGGAGCTGTTCTGAAATGCAGAATTGCAGAAAGAAAAGAAAAGTTGGAATTAAGCAGAGCCTGGTTAAAAGGTGTTGTTTGCTTAGTGGCCACAGACTAATATCAGTTTGCTAAATCATTTTTGCCTTATTTTTAAGTCACGGTGCCATGCTTGACTTTCTATGGCTGATGAATTAATAGATATGTGACTGTACTTGGAATGATTGCTCCTTTAAATATGTTGCTTGGTATTTACATGACTCTTGTTTCCTAGTTCCAGGCATGGGTGCACCACTAGGCCTAAGAGAGTATCCACCAGGTGTTCTACCCGGGAAATGGGACCTGCCTGTTGACCCTCGGGAGTTTTTACTAGGACACGCACCATTTAGACCTCCAGGTTCACTTGGTCCAAGAGAAGTTTTTATTCCTGGTACCTGTTTACCACCTCCAACCCATGGTCCTCAGGACTACCCTCTGCCACAACCTGCTGCAAGAGACTTACTGCCTTCCGGCCCAAGAGAGGGAGCCCCACCTGTCTCTCCTAGCAGTGTCCAAGACAGTTCACCGCCTTCAAAACCCAACCCCTAACTTTGTCCTCTATCACTGAGTCAGAGTGGAAGAGAGAGCGGACATTGTATTGTTCATTACAGCAAAGAATTCCATCGGCTTCAAAACCTAAAAGTTTCCTATAATACATTTGTTTTTTTTTTTTTGTGTTAAGCTGCCTTTGCAGTGTGCATTTTTGAGCCAAACAAAAACATATTCCCATTTTTATGTAAAACATCCCCTCTTATGCTTATGTCCTTCCAACTTTGAAATGTGCAATAAAGAATACCTGTGTTTTATGTACCATATGTAATTGCTGGATGATTTAGAATATCCTAAAGTATGAACATTTCCTGTGGAAATGCTTTCAGAACATGTATGACCATGGCCTGGGTCTAGTGTGTACCAGCAGATGCAGAGCAAGGGGCTCACAGCTCCATCTGTGTCTCTGAGACTGTCACGCTAACAACGTTTCCTCAGGGTCATAAACTCTCCTGTGTGGCTGAAGTTCTTTGTAGTGATAGTTCATAAACTTTGTTTATTGGTATTTTCAAGTGTCTGTTGATTCTTTGGGATGTTTTGAGACATGTACCATTGGGGAACCTGACAACTGGGCTTCTGGAACCTCCGTGCTGGGTGTGCACACTCCATGTGGCACTGCTAAGATCTCCAGAGTCACCAGTGAACTCTCCAGGACTTCTCTCTCCTATTCAAATGAGACGCAGCCCCACCTGTCCTACCTTGATGCTTCTTGATGCTCTCTGCCTGTTTGGGAATGATTTTCTTCTTAGAAGTTTACATTAGTATCAAGAATTATTTGGGTCTGGATGTGGTGGTGCACACCTTTATTCTAGCTAATGAGAGGCAGAAGCAGGTGGATCTCTGTGAGTAACATGACAGCCAGGGCTACATAGAGCCTGTCCTACAAAAATGAGGGAAAAATTATTTGGTCCAGCAATATGGCTCATCAGGTAAAGGCATTTACTGCCAAGCCTGGCAGCTTGAGTTTGATCCCCAGAGTCCCCCAGTAATGAGAACCAACTCCCACACCTTGTCCATTGAAATACACACACACACACACACACACACACACACACACACACACACACACACGCCTCAATGTGTGTGTGGGGTTAATTTATAAATTTTTGGACCTTATGTTTTTTTTTGTTTTTGTTTTTGCAGGAAGGGTTTCTCTGCTATGTTTTTGAGCATGTCTTGGAACTCGCTCGGTAGACCAGGCTGGTCCTGAACTCAGAGAGATCCACCTGCCTCTGCCTTTGGAGTGCTGGGATAAATTGCATGTGCAACCAATGCCCGGCCATGTTTTGTTGCTTTTGAAACCATTCTTGTACAAAGGGTACATAGCAAGATAAAAATCATGTGCCATGACTGTAAGATAATTTCTTTTTAGAAATAATATATTCTGTTCTCTCTCACATCACCTTGCAGCTGATTTTCAAACAATATAACAAACAAGAATCAGGAAGGTGTCAGGAGCAGGAACGATTGCAAACTGGAAACTTACCTATGTCTTCAGTCCACAGCTACGGGCTGAACCCAACTCTATGGTTATTTTGAGATAGGGTCCCATTCTGTAGTTCAGCCTAGCCTCAGACTCTCACTGATCCTCCTCTCAGCTCCTGAGAGGCTGGCATTTCAGGCTTGAGGTACCTTGCCTAGATTAATTCTTTAGCAGATAGCATTCAAAATTAACATTCAAACATCAGTGCTTTTATTAATACATGTGGTATTGCATCATGTAAAGTCTTGAATCCCTTTTACACTGTCCTAAAACAAGTGGTTCACTCAATTTATAGGAAATTTAGCAGTGAATTATGGAGGAGCTGTAATATGTAAGCTGTAAAAGGTGGAAACTGCTTATTGTGACACTATGTTCCATAAAGGCCTGTGAAATCACAATACTGAAAGCTGGGATATTAAATCCATGTGGGTATTTTGAAAAATGAGCAAAAGTTTCAATGTGAAATAAAATGGCATAAAAAAATTGAAGACATGATATAAAAAGACAAGTTCTCTTAATGCAGGAAGTTCTAATGGAGCCTGTAAGTCCTCCAGTAAGAGTTCAATATGCCTAGCCCAATCTGAAATTACAGAAGATTCTATATAAGAAAACACCACAGGATAGGGTATGTGATTAAAAATCATGTTTTATTCTATGCATTTGTGTTTTGCCTGTATGTATGTATATATTCCACATGTATGTTTGTTGCTTCTGGTTCCAGAAAGGGCTACCAGATCCCCTATAACCAGAGTTATAGGCAGTTGTGAGCCACCATGTATTTGGGTGCTGGGAACTGAACCCTGGTCCTCTGCAAGAACAGCAAGTGCTCTTATCCCCTGAACCATCTCTTATGCCCCTAGCATATGCCATTATTATAAGAATAACAGTAAGACTAAATTGCAAATACAGCTTCTGGAATATATCTACCAACCTCAAGACACAATGTAATACTACTGCATTAACATAATTCCAAAATTTTGCCATTTTAAGGTATGGTCTCACCTATGTATCTCAGGCTTTTTCAATTTGATATCCTATCTCACTATCCCAGCTACCTAAGTTTGGATGGCATATAAAGTAAAGATTATAGCAGCTAAGAAGACAATTTGTAAAGCTAAGTAACACCCTCTCCACCTTTTTCTAAATCAAAACCGGAACATTTCACCTCTAAAGCCCTTTGATTATCCTTTCATATATCATAAACACCATCTAGATGATGTAAAGAAACCCCAGTGTGGTGTATCTGGGCAGTTCTAAGCCAGTCTACACTGCCTTTCATCAACTCCATCTGAGTGTACATCCTATGCTACAAAAGCCCATAATGAGGCATCAGCCTACAGATGACACCATACCTAATTTGTACAATTTTTCCTTTTCAAATGTTCCTTTGTCAGAAGCTGCCCCCAGCTATCTAACTAGCTGTTCCCTAGCGCCCTTTAACCCTGATGGCAGGCATCTCTACTTCATATAAACACGTTCATGAGATCGATTCGTGCTGCGGTACAGAAAATTACCACTTTGACACTTGTCTTAAGGTTGTCATAAAAGAGAAAGCACGATGTACAGTTTTTGCTACATTTTAATAATAATAGCTTTGAAGGAATTATTTTTTAGGTCTAGTCAGCAACATCAGACAGAAGGTACTAAGTACTCCCCAGGTACAGAGTACTGCCCCAGTGTACTGAGTACTACTCAGGTACACAGTACTGTCTGGGGTACTGTGTACTCCCCAGGTACAGAGTATTGCCCAGGGTACTGAGTTTCCCCAGGTACAGAGTACTGTCCAGGGTACTGAGTATTCCCTAGGTACAGAGTACTGCCAAGCACCTAAGACCCTTCCCATGACCCAGAGATGTGGCTCTTGCCCCTTGAGAAGCTTACAGTCTTCGGATCCACAACCCAAAGCTTAGGAGTCAGATGATGAGTTAACTTAAGGCAAATTCTTCATCTCCTAGTGCTAGTATAGTTGAAACTATTTCTTCATTTGGAAATAATCCAAATAAAGTCTAATTTGGCTGTGGACCTTTTTCAGGTTGAGCCTGAAATACAGTTTTTATAACATCCTTTTAGTAAACAGTAACTAGTTGGTGCTGAAAGTCAAGACTATGTCTCTTGAAGGGCAAGGTTAAAACATCTTCATGGAGATTACTTACTTAAAAAGCAAACATACTGAATGGTGTGATGAGGTTATACTATTTAAAAACAGGCCCAGTACTGACAGTGCAGTCCACTCATGCCCTGTTCATTGGAAAGTGAATATTAAAATGCGTGGGTTCTATGTCTAACCCACAGAAAGCCCTTCACAAATGTTAATGTTCTGTGTAACAACTATCCATCATGTGCTATATGAAAGTTTTGTTTATGACTCGTACATCGCAAGAAAATAGTCAATTTAAAATAACGAATGACCTGCATATTTTCCAAAGGAATGAATGACTGTATATCTAAATAGGAACTAAATGGCGATTCTATCTGCCTATATTAAAAAAAATAAACCATCTTTCCAGATTTTGCATACTAAGGAGAGGTATGCGGTCTTATGGTCTCACAATGGGTTATCAGGAAGCATTAGTTATCTGCAGTATTTTAACATCTGACTCAACTCTTCCTAATGATGCAATTTAAAAGATATTGTAAACACATTTAAAACCTGGAGTTACTCTGAGATGGTTCCAGTGTTAGCCCCAGAGTCTACCAGGAAGAATAGCAGTGACAGAGAAGAGCAGATAACCACCTGACTATACATGTGTTCACTCCAGGAAACCAATCTGGTCATCTGGGGAACACTCCATGGGGATTCCCAACTGGCTAGGGCACACTTTCTATGCAGGAGATATATGGCATTCGGGTAGGCCACTTCTAATGAGTATAAGCTTCCAGACAGACTTTCCTAGGCAACATAACTAGTTCAGTTCCTCTCAGCAATTATCCCCACCTCAACCCAGAATGTGACATTCAATCCAGAAGAGCATATTGGAGCAAAGGTGAGCAGAAATGTAAACTCCAGCACATTCTTATTGCTGCATTGTCCGAAGTTCAGCACATCTATAACAACAGTACTATCCGGGAAGCAGGGGAGGAGTAGGAGTGGTAACAAGAGAATAGACAATTAATTGCACAATTAATAGAAAAGTAAAAGTGTTTCAAAATCTACAATGAACCTGTATCCAATATGTTAGTGATGTGCTGAACTTTTGAGTTCTGGGGTCCGGCTTTGCAATGGATTGCTGGCCAACTGGCATGGTTAAGGGCTCATTTCCTGCCTGTTGATGAGTGATATGCTACACAGAGCTTTGATGGTTTCTGAGTGGTAAAATTCACATAAGTTCCAGGTTATTTGTATCAGGATCATTCCTTGTGCAAAGTTTGATGTAGATGAAGATAAAGTGGTTTCTTGGTCAATAATTGTAATTTTTTTCTTTTAAAGTCAGTGGGTTTCTTGTATCTGGAACCACAACAGAAAGATTATTGTTTAAAATACTCTGATCGATCCCCAAGTTCCATTTGCCATGCCCCAAACTTACAATTCTATTACAATTGGCCCAGGTTTAATTTCATCCATTTCCATGAAGGCAAAACATTTGGTGCTGGTGAACCTCTTTTTAGGCTTGTAATGTTTGAATTCAAAGAAGATGGCCGCACCTATGAAATTGAAAGACACATAAACTACAGGCAGCCCTTCCATTTTAATTAGTTTTCATTACTCACCAGAAGCATATGAACAATCAAGGGTTTGCATAATCCACAAAGTAGCCTGTTAAATACAGTCTGCAGCTATGAGTAGCAATCCCAAATTCTACTCTAACATTTCCACAAAGGCCTGAGCAAGACGGACTCAGGCATCAGGAAGAGCAAAGCACTGTGAGGAAGGCTCGCTCACGGACTACACGGTCGTCTCCCTTCACATCATAAACAGGTCTCAAAGCAATGGGGAGAAGGCACACTCAGGGCTGCAACCTCTTCCTTATGTGCCCAGCACCTCTGATACACACCCTTCTAACCCAGAGTTTCAAGTTCTGGAGTCTATCAGAATGACCTGGAGGACTTTAAAAAATACTGCTAAGGTTGCACCATGGCTCATCCACCAGGGTTCAGGGGCTGCCCCATCTACAGCCCTGGATTTAAGAAGAAAAGCATCAGCATTACAGAGGCTGCAGGAACTATTTCTAAAGCATTCACTTCACATGCATTTCCTACAGAGAGCAGCCATCTCAAACTGCAGCTGAGGCCCAAGTGACATAAGGGACGCTGAAGGCTTCTCTGTAGAGAACACCAGTTGTTCAGTGGGCAAATGGCAACTGCAAGGATTTATTGCTAAGACTTGTGCTAGGCTGGTAATGCAACTTCACTGTGACAAAGGTGGCTTTATCTTCTCACCTTCTCTCCAGTGAACTGCAAGTTCTGGCACTTTTCAGCTCAGTTTATTTGACTGGAATGAAGGGATCAAAGCACCATTAGGAGTTCCAGCTTCCCCCACCCGTCAGAAAGAGAAAAACTGCTTTGCATGTGTGTGTGCCTACGTGCATGTATATAGTATGCAAGAGGTTCATGTCAGGCTTTTCCTCAATGGGTTTCCCACATCCCTTTTTGAGACGGTTTCTCGCTGAACCTGGAGCCAGCCTGGCTGAGCAGCAGACCTCATCTGTCTTTGTCTCCTAGCACCAGCAAGCTGCCATGCCTGAATTCTACACGGGTGCAATGAACCTAGCTCAGGCCCTCCCACTGAGCCGTCACCCAGGCCGAAAATTTTACTACGAAAGAACGCATTCTACTGTTGTTAATACAATCACACAACATACCACCTAATTTCAACAATTAAAAACATTACCATTTGGGTTTCACCAAAGCAACTAATCAGATGTGGATTATGACGGGACCACTGTGATGATGCCCTCTCAAATGAGTGCTGTCCATAGGAAAACAAAGATATGATCACAAACCTTTGGTTAATTTTTCAACATGCTTCTGGAGCTCAATGTCCACATTAAAATGAACATATGTATCTTCTTTTCTTGAAGCCACAGGAGTATCTTGTACAGGAGTTAAATCTATGCCATTCAAATCTAGAGAGAAACAAATTTCCACTTAGGGGCAATTACATTTAAGACTACCAAAGGCCACGTTTCCTGCAGAGGTGAGATGGGGAGGGCATTCTGGGGATTCATAGGGATGCCTCTCTGTATGAATGGGGGCTTGGGAACTGCTGCTATCCATGGGTGTGTGGAGGGAGCAGAAGTGAGAGGAGGGGAAATGAAGTTTGCTAAGAGGGGAAAGAACTTCCTGTTTGCTGAGGGCATAGACCACTCTATTATGTGTAGTAAGAATCTGGGCTGAATATGCTTTGCTACAACGTGGCTCTCAGTCCCTATTTTGCAACACTGATCAAGCGCATGGCTGGAAAGGCTTTAAGTCTATAAGTCAGAACTCCTCTGCTGTATTCAAGTCAAGTGGGCATGAGAGCTGCCAAAATATCCCTTTCATCAGTGAAGAAATTTATAAATAGTACCTACATTCTGGTTATGTTTCCTAAAACATAACTGATTTACCACAACCACATGGTATACTAAGTTACTGAGTGTGGCTTCAATTTCCTGGGTCCAGGAACCCTACTTAATCAAATCCTACATTAGACTTATTTACCAAATAAGTGCTTATATATTTATTATTCAACAAAGATGCCTTAGCAACAACCTACAGTAATTTGGTACAACTGATTATTGGAGTTCTTAAAGATATTTACACAAAATCCTGTTTCAGTTCAACAAACATGCAAAGGTAACTTAACATCTACTATATATCATTCAACATTTTATGTTTTACCGAGTACTTCCTGAATGAGTTATATCATTTTGGAAATGGTCTATCAAACAATGTATAAAGAACAAATACTTTACACACTTGACAGCTACCTATCTCTTAAAGCAGTGGTTCTCAACCTGTAGACTGTGACCCCCCCTTTGGGACATCAAACCACCTTTTCACAGGGGCTACATATCAGCTATCCTGCATATCAGATATTTATGATTCATAATAGTATCAAAATGCAGTTATGAAATAATTTTCTGGTTGGGAGTCACAACATGAGGAACTGTACTAAAGGGTCATAGTATTACAAAGTTGAGATTCACTGCTTTAAAATATTACCATCACTAGTGCTGTCAATCATGGTCTATGCTTAATAAAATTATCTCTGTGGTTAATTCCTTTTTTTTTTTTTGTTTTGTTTTTCGAGACAGGATTTCTCTGTGGCTTTTGGAGGCTGTTTTGGAACTAGCTTTTGTAGACCAGGCTGGTCTCAAACTCACAGAGATCAGTCTGATTCTGCCCCGAGTGCTGGGATTAAAGGCATGCGCCACTACCACCCAGTGGCTAAATTCCTTTTTATTTTAATTGTTACTAATGAACATATGGGTGTGAATTTATGTCTACAAGTGATGCAAGGCACCTTCAAGCCACATCTGGTTCTTTGGTTAGTTTCAGACTGCAGCTTAATGTTAACCACTTATATTAACTGTAGTTATTTCTCAGTAATAATGACTATACCCTTACTGATTCAAAAATAACTGTTCTTACTAATTTTTTTGAAATGGGGTCTCATTATATGTTCCAAAGTTGGGCTCAAGTTAGTCTCCTGCCTCAGCTGCCTGGAAATTGGGATCACAGGTATGCTTTACCATGCCTGACACCTAAGAAAAAATTTTAAAGCCTAAGTGCTTTGAAAATAAAGTACTATATAATAGGTATAAAGTACTGTATAATCATAAGTATAAAGTACTATATGATAGGTATAAAGTATTGTGTGATGGTATGTATAAAGGACTATATAATAGGTATAAAGTACTGTATAATCATAAGTATAAAGTACTATATGATAGGTATAAAGTATTGTGTGATGATATGTATAAAGGACTATATAATAGGTATAAAGTACTGTATAATCATAAGTATAAAGTACTATATGATAGGTATAAAGTATTGTGTGATGGTATGTATAAAGTACTATATGATAGGTATAAAGTATTGTATAATCATAAGTATAAAGTACTATATGATAGGTATAAAGTATTGTGTGATGATATGTATAAAGGACTATATAATAAAGTATTGTATAATCATATGTATAAGGTACTATATGATAGGTATAAAGTATTGTGTGATGATATGTATAAAGTACTATATGATAGGTATAAAGTATTGTGTGATGGTATGTATAAAGGACTATATAATAAAGTATTGTATAATCATAAGTATAAGGTACTATATGATAGGTATAAAGTATTGTATAATCATAAGTATAAAGTACTATATGATAGGTATAAAGTATTGTGTGATGATATGTATAAAGTACTATATGATAGGTATAAAGTATTGTATAATCATAAGTATAAAGGACTATATAATAGGTATAAAGTATTGTGTGATGGTATGTATAAAGGACTATATAATAGGTATAAAGTATTGGATAGTAAGTGAGGCAACAACCAAAGAATTCAACCATGTGGATCTTTGTTAGGGACAGAAAAACAATGGTCAGAATAATCACACTTTCTAACTCTGATAACTTTCTTCCCTGTCCTGCAGGGCTCTCTCTCAGAGTCTGGACACATGGACAGACCCTCTCCTGGTCTCTACTTCTGCCTTCACTGCGGCACCCACCTTACAGAAATCTGCTGTAGGGACCAGACGGGGAGGAGGACTATTTTTTAATTCTGTATCCTGGAAGCTATCTCTGCTGCTAAGGGGAGTGTGCATGACTAGACAGCCCCCTAGATGGGTCTGGAGTACGAATATAAAAAGAAACAAAGACACAAAGACAAGCTCAAAAGCAAAAGTGAATCTAAGCTCTATATTTAAAAATACGTTTATTGGGCTGGAGGGATAGCTCAGCCGTTAAAAGCTAGGCTCACAACCAGAAATATAAAAATATGTTTATTAAGCCTATCAGAAGCGTTCACTGCAGGAATAAAGATCAATTTCAGGGTTCCTATCATTACAGAATGAATTATAATTAGCTGCCACAGACATAGGAGCCACCACTCTAGGAACAACTGTTCTAAGTAGAAAAGCAGCGTGACATCTGCAGAAGGGAAACCATGCCCAGAGCTCCTCACCCTTCACACTGACTGTAATGTAGGGGTCGATGCACTGCCCCGCATCTTTCAGACCAATTTTCTCAATTCTGATAGTGAGTAACGTCATCCCTGGTTCTGATGGCAACCGTGGCAATAAAGTACCTGGCAACAGAGAAACCATAATAAAAATTTGGCCACAAATAATTCCAGAGTGAACATTTTAGCAAGCAGAAGAGACACAGGCTTTCTTGTAACTTAGCAACCAGGCAGACACTGCACATTTTGCTTTCTAGCACTTTCAAACACTGTATTATTATTATTATTATTATTATTATTATTATTTGTTTTTAGGATATCCTTAGTTTCCTGTGTATGGAGATTATAGGCAAGTGTCACCATACCTAGCTTGGTGTTATTCACTGTGAACAAATATTTAATCATTTGCAAGATAAATCTGCACTCCATACTCCACAAACACAACAAAAGGGCAATTATTAAGGGTAGTTTGTTAAAAATTTATGTTACTCAAGGAAGCCCAATTCTAAGCTACCACATAATACACATATACAATGCACTCAAGAAGGTATATCTTGTAGAAAAAGGACAGAAAAACTTTCAAGTATTTTCTGCTATTCTGAAGCTTGAGAAGTTTGAGAGTAGACCAGTTGCTATTAATGTATACTTTAGCACTCACAGACTCAATTATTAGGTAGATTATTAAAGCCCAGTTTCCTACTCTATTTCTAATCCTACTCTGCATGATGTATTCTTAGTAGTTAGTACTAGAGGGAATGGCAACATAAAACTGCAAGAACAATTTGAATTTTTGAAACATTCCCATTCACCAATTTTTAAAGCTAAAAGACCAGGCTGGAAACATAGTTCAGTGCTAAGTGTGCTTTCTCCACAGCAGAATGTGAATCCCCAGCATCTGGGCAAAAAGCTACGTGCGGCGGTGCTTGCCTGTGAGCTGAGCGCGGAGAGCACAGAGGAGAAGGGCAGAGGAGTCCCAATCCATATCCTGCTCTGGTCTCCAAATCTGTGTGCATGGGCACATGTATCCAAAACTTAGACACATGCACCAGGCACATATATACCACACACAACCCCCCCCATAACTAAAAGCCCATACAAAAGAGGAGATAACCATTCCAACCCTCAAGAAAATGGTTACTTTTAATCCAGTGTGTGTGTGTGCAGTAAGTTAAACCACACACAGAACATGACACTTACATAGGATTTTGGTTGGAATCTTTCCTTTCTGTTTAACAATGTAATGAAGACCCCAGAGGCCATGTTTCAGTACCTTCTAAAATGAACATCTGATTAACAATGAACAGGTGTGAGGGAACTGGGAGGGGGCAATGGAAATGTAAAACTGGAAGGTGGTCATGATGTCATCACTTCATAAATCTAGAATTTATAAATTCTAGATAAGAGTCTTTATAAATCAAGAATCACAAAATAGTAGGTAAATTTTATATGAATACTGTTGGGTAAAGTCTTCCCACCAGCCTGGTTCCAGAGCCGCATCAGTCCCCAATAAACACACAGGAGGCTATATTAATTATGAAGCTGTTGGCTGTTTGCTTGTTTTTTTACTGGCTATCTCTGACTTAAGTATTTACCCCACAATTGTAAATCTAAGTATTTCTCTTACCGGAGAAAGGGTCCAGACCTGTTACTTCTTGTAGGAGGAAGCCTGTATGCCACCATTAACCATGTGACTTACTAGAGGCGCATACAGATGAGGTAATAAAAGGGCGGTTTACCACACCGCTAACCACACCCACTTTAGGCATGACTAAAGACGTATACGGACGGACGTAAAGACGTATACGTACGTAGGCGGTGAACTACGTCACTAGTCAGGCCCACTTTTGGGCAGGGCTAGGGGGCATTACGGGGGAAGTCTTGTTCTCTTTTCCCGAAGTTCGGCTTCCGGTTCGGCAGCGGGAAAACTACTTGGCTCATCTGGGTTACTTGTTTGGTATCTTGTGAGTAATTTTTACAATAAATACTTAGTTTTACTTTCAGTTAGTGTGTCGCTTATCGTTACATCGTCATTTGAGCCTCAACTTCTATTGTGGCTACATGATGTCTGCCTGTGTCTCTTTCCCAGAATCCTTCTCAACTCCTAGTCCCACCTATCTTGCTTCCCTATTGGCCAACAGTGCTTTATTGACATATACACAGGACTTCCCCATCAGAATACTATAATGATGCTATTAAAAATAATAGTAGTTTTAAATGCATTAACAATTTTTTGTGGGTTTGGTGTTTATTTTGGGGTCAGGGTCTCATCGTGTAGCCCAGGCTGACCTCACACTCAAGGCAACCCTCCAAGCTCAGTCCCCAGGTGCTAGATTACAGGCACTTTTGATTTTGTTTTAATACTAAGATACACACACTGGTCAACGTATTCTGGAACACACTTCTCTGAAACGGGAATTACTGAGTCCCACAGTCTGTGCTAATTGTGCCAACAGCTCCTGCAGCGGATGCTGCATTTCTGTCACCGCCAACAGTGCAGCAGGGTTAGTGCTGTCATGATCCTCGAGCACCTCGCTTCTCAGATGCTCTCCTTGGACCCATTTAGGTATGGAGAGGACTGACGTAGCTATGACTGCATGGTCTCTGATGGCTAATAGGGCGTCACAAATTTCTATTAGGTCACGCATTTGGATTTTCTCCTTTCTGAAGAGGGTGTTGGATTATTTTGCCCACATTTCTATTGAAATGTCCGTTTCTTATTAAGTTGTAGGAGCTCTGTAATACATTAGAAAAAGCTCTGGTTACATGTCTTATAAACAGTTTAATAGTGGTTTTTCTTTTAAAAAACATTTCACTAAAACGTAAAATATATAAGATGCCTGAATTTTAAATGCAGCTTGCTGAATTTCACAATACGGGCACACCTATGTCAGGAGCTTCAGAGCATGAAAGACATAAACAGCATGCTGGGGGCACCCATGATGCTTCCAAAGCCATCATACCCCTACTCATTCTTCAAGAAGACAGCCATGCTCTCAGATCCCCTGGCTTGGGGACACAGTCAGGTCGACTCCCCCCCCCCCCATGGACGACCAAGTGACCAGGTGCCTGCAGAGAGAGCTGCTCCACTTCGACCCAAACCCAGGGCAGAGGGCAGAGGTGAGCAAGCGTGCCCTCTCTCGGATCCCCTGGCTTGGGGACTGCAGTCAGGCCAACGCCCCCCCCCAAGCTATCAGGAGCCTGAGAGAGAGCTGGTCCACTTCTGCCCACACTCAGAGCAGAGGACAGAGTATTGGATTTGCTTACACCCACTGAAAGGGAACCCTGGTCACCTACCCACCAGGAGAGGAAGAAACTCTTTCTACACCCACTGGAAGAAGTGATTGAGAAAAAGCAATATAAGAACACACAGCAACAGAAAAACATATATGATGCCACCAGAGTCTAGAGATTCTATACCAGCAAGACCTAAACACACCAATGTGGACGAAGCAGAAGGGAATGACCTTAAAAACACCTTCATGAAAATGACAGAGGCCCTCAAAGAGGATATGAGAAAATCCCTTAAAGAAATGGAAGAAAAAACAAACCAAAAAATGCAACAAATGGAAGAAAGGGAGGAAAACACGAAGCAACAATTACAAGAAACAATTCAAACAAGGCAAGGATTGAAAGCTGACATGGAGACAATAAAAAAAACACAGTCTGAAGGAATGCTGGAAATTGAAAAAACTGGGGAAACAGACAGGTACTACAGACGCAAGCGTAACCAACAGAATACAAGAGATGGAAGAGAGAATCTCAGGTGTTGAAGACACACTAGGAGAAATAGATTCATCAATCAAAGAAAATCTGAAGTCCAACAAATCCTTAACACAAAATATCCAGGAAATATGGGACACCATGGAAAGACCAAACCTAAGAATGATAGGTATAGAAGAAGGTGAAGAAACTCAACTCAAAGGGACAGAAAACATATTCAACAAAATCATAGAAGAAAACTTTCCCAACTTAAAGAAAGACAAGCCAATGAAGGTACAAGAAGCCTACAGAACACCAAATGGAGTGCCACAAAAGGAAGTCCCCTCACCACATAATAGAAAAAACTCCGAACATACAGAATAAAGAAAGAATGTGAAGAGCAGTAAAGGAAAAAGGTCAAGTAACATACAAAGGCAAACGTATTAGAATCACACCTGACTTCTCCATGGAAACTCTGAAAGCCAGAAGATCCTAGATAGATATTCTACCAACACTAAGGTCTACAGATGCCAGTCTAGACTGCTATATCCAGCAAAGCTTTCAATCACTATAGATGGAGGAAACAAGATATTCCATTACAAAACCAGATTTAAACAATACATATCCACTAACCCAGCCATACAGAAAGTTCTGGAAGGAAAACTCCAACCCAAGGAAGTTAACTACAACCAGAAGAACATAGGCAATAGATAATCCCACCTTACCAATAGCCAAAAGAAAAAAGTGGTGGAAATCCACATATAATTCCACCACCATCAACCATTCCATGTCTATCGCCATGCACAAAACTTAAGTTCAATTGGATCAAAGACCTCAACATAAATCCAGACAAACGAAACCTGTTAGAAGAGAAAGTGGGAGGTACCTTTGAATAAATTGGTACAGGAGACCAATTTCTGAATATAACACCAGTAGCACAAACACTGAAATCGACAATTAATAAATGGGACCTCCTAAAACTGAGTAGCTTCTGTAAGGCAAAGGACACAGTCAGCAAGACAAAAAGGCAACCCACAGATTGGGAAAAGATATTCACTAACCCCACATCTGACAGTGGGCTGATCTCCAAAATTTACAAAGAACTCAAGAAGCTATTCTCCAAAACACCAAAGGACCCAATTAAAAAGTGGGAGACTGAAATAAATAGAGATTTCTCAATAGAGGAGACTAAAATGGCTGAGAGTCACTTGAGAAAGTGAGATTTCTAGAGATGTACAAGGATAACACCAACTGGAAAACTAAGTAATAGCGGAGAGACTACATTAATAGCCCCTACCTGATGATAAGGTTGGTAACCATCTTATGTGACATCCTAGAACCTTCATCCTGTGACTGATGGGAGCAGAGACAGATACAGCTAAACACTGAACTGACCCCCTGGAACCCAGGGACAGAGATGGAGGAGTGATGAGCAAGGCGGTCAAGACCATGCTGGTGAAACCTACAAAGACAGCTGACCGGATAAGGGGGAGCTCTTGAACCCCAGACTGATGACTAAGAGGCCAATAGGGGAGTGATCCAGACTCCATGAATGTAGTGTCAGTGAGGAGGACTCAGAAATCTCTGGGGCTTCGGGTAGTAGATTAGTGTTCACTATGGCATACAAATGAACTTTGGGAGCCCATTCCACATGGAGGGATGCTCTCTCAGCCTGGACACATGGGGAAGGGCCTAGGTCCTGCCCTGGATGAAATGACAGACTTTGGAGATTCCCCCAAGGAGGGCCTCACCCTCCCTGGGGAATGATGTGGGGACTGGGCTGGGGGTGGGGGTGGGGGTGAAGGGAGAAGGGGGGGAGCTGGGATTGACATTTGAAGCATGCATGTTTCTAATTTAAATGAAAAAAAAACATACTTAAAAAAAAAAAAAGAAGAAGAAGACAGCCACACTGCAGCTAACACCAGAGCACAACTCAGGTTGTCACATGACTCTGCTCTGTAACAATGCCTTCTAGGAGAAGCTTCATGCTGACATAGTCAAATTTCTTAAGCCCTTTCTTAGTCTGCACTTAAAAAAAAGCCTATAGGAAATTGTGCTTAATTCAACAGTGGCACTGGCCAGCACTCTGCAGGCACCAGGGATGCATGTGGTGCACATACATACATGTGGGCAAAACACTCACACATGAAACTTTAAAAAATGATTAAATCTAATAAAACTTAAAAAAATAGAAATAAGTATGCATCTTCAGAAGCAAAACAGACCAGAAATAATGTCTTGTAGCCATGAAGGAGACTCAGCAGTAACAATTAACTACTATGTGTATTTTCCCTAAGTTATTTATAGTTACGGGGAAGGAATACCCTCGCCCAAGCTCTTCCACAAATAAAAAGGTTCACTATGCATCCTTCATTCCTCTTAGATGAGGGTAATGCTCCAGGGTCTGCCCACCTGGGCCTGGTTCTATCAACCACAGTTCAGTAGAAGACTGAATCATAACACAGAGACAGGCTCACTCACACTGCAGGCCAAAGACAAAGCTTGGCCTGTGGCTGGCATTTGGGATCTTGGATCTGGTGAGGATTTCCATATCCCCTGTTCATCTTACAACACCTGAACTGTGTGAGCAGTATAGCTAGTGCTGAACACGCCTTCCTTCTGACACCTATAATTTTGGTCTATAGTAGGTAGAAAATGACTCTGTGATCAATTACCAATGAGCTATGTGTGCTGACTCTCTAAGCAGATGGCCCTTTCACAGCATGAGCTGAGATAACCACTGACGGTGGCCCAGCCAAAGAAGTTTGCTTACAGTTGGCAAGGGCTCTGGAAAAGTTTTCCTCCCCACTAACAGACAGCAACACAAATTCCACACGCCCTGCTGGATAAAGCAGTGCGTGTGCGCTGTAAGGATGCCCACCAGGAACTCGAGCAGAAAAAGAATCAGGAGGTCCTGCCCCAGCTCCACCTTCTTCATCTTCTTCAAATTCCAAATTCTCTTCTTCACCAGGTGCTAAAATCCGTCTACAAGGAAGAGAGAGAAACTAAACAACGAGCTAGAACACTCAGTACAACAACAAAGCCTCACAGCTGTTCCACATGAAGCAGACGATTACAAGAGGCTGACATATTGTTACCAATGTTGATATCAGTCATATCAAAGATATCAAAGTGGATAAAACAACAGATGTATCTGAAAGACAGCTATACAGAAGACACTAAGAGAAGAAGACAAATATGAACACTTATTTACCTTAATGGGATAGGCTGAACATCAAATGGGAATTCTTTGTTATATGTAAGAATATTCTTCAGGACTACAATAAAAAAGACAAAGAAACATGAATTCTTCAATAAAAATTAAATTGTAGCTCAGAGAGCTAATTTTCAGTAAATTTTACCATGCATATTTAAACATATTTTTAAGTTGCCAGATTATCATTCCAGAGCCACTGTATTTGTTTGCAGAAGGTCTGAAAAAATTAGGCCCCCAAAACATTTCCTACAAGGTCCTGAGTGAGATGCAAGATCCTCCCTGTACTGAAAGACTGACATTAAAGATGACAATTAGAGAGATACAGGAGCACATCTTACTCTGTCTTGAGTTTCTTGTGGATGTTACCAAACTGGTAAGGTTTGTTTTAGCAGTTATACATCTCATATTTCTTTTATGATGACATGTATAGCTTATGTCTGTATCTTTTATATATATGGACGCAGTAAAGAGAAGTCTCCAGGCAACATGGTACCTGTGTCCTGGCTGTAGTTACTCCCTTTGGGCATATAAGCTTAGAGGGAAATGCTCTGTAATGCTGCTGTGTCTGCGGAAGTACTCTAAGTATGTAACTTAGTGTTTCACTTCCAGCCTTATGGGTCCCAGTAGCAGGCCGTAAATGACAGGAAGGTGAATCCACAGCATGAAAAAGGCAACACAAAAGGCTCCTGTACATTAGTGCTCAACACACCCAGACTTAACTTTGCAGTCCTATAGTTCAGAGCTGAAAGAAATAGGGCATATTGGTACATAGCAAATAGCCTCTAAAGGAGGGTATCCAGAGGGCACAGGTTGCAATTGCATGACATGTTCCAATGACTGTCAGTTTTTAATCCAATTTCTTATATGTGTACTCAGAGAATCCAGTGTGAAAAAGTCAGAAGCCACAGTTCTTTTTGGTTTGTACTCTCTTTCTTTAGCTCTTACCTCCACCCTTCCTCCATCTTCCTTTTTCTCAATAACTGTGTACTTAGTGACCAAAATGTTTTAGACTCAGGATATACCGTGAACAAGAACTCCTAAATGGATCTTAAACCAAACTCAAGACAAACAGACAACACTAATGACTGGCATCACAGAGGACCCTGGAGGAGTAACACACCCTGCTTCACTCTGTCTTCAGTAGATGTCTCCTCAACAGCATAAAATTGGAAGGATTTGCAGCAGAAAGGTTACTCTTCTGTTGTCCCTCTTCTGATAAGATCTTAGTACAGACGCTAACAGTCTACAGATCTAGACACAGTAGAGTTTATCCTCAAGGGAAGTCTTCAAACACGTATGCTGGCTGTGGGAGGTTTGAGGTTGAGCTATACACTCATCCAAACTCCCATTTGAACCTTTGAACAAACTCATGAAAAGTCATGGATGCCATCAAGTAGACAACCCAATGCACAAATATGGTTACTGTTAAGATGGACACACAGAAAGCTGTGTAAATGGACAGAGAGACAGTGGAATAGCCAGAGCTGTGACCCAGGATAGAAGCGTCACCCAGTGCCACTCTGGGGTTGGAACTTTCCAGGATTGGAGAAGCAAGAGCAATGGAGGTTCAGGGAAGGAAGAAGACTTTGGGGTGGGGATGAGGAGCTTGCTTTTTTCTGAGAGTTTCACTCTATATCCCATCCTGGCTTAGAATTCACCAAGTAACTTATGGCAATCTTCCCACCTCAGTCTCTTGAACAGGCATGTCCTACCACATCCAGCTTGGGTTTGACCTCTTCAAATAATAGAATGTTTACAAGAAAGAAAAAGTATCAGAAGACCAAAGTAGATTTAAATAAAATGTCAGCTCTACAATTCCAATGACAGACGTGCATAACTATGCTAAAGTAATGTTCATTACTGTTTTCCCAGTCCTAAAATGGGAGTGACATTTCCTTCACAGATTACTGAGGGAACTAAAATTAAAAAAAAATCCATGAGAATGCAGGGGAAGTTTTAAAGTGTTGAACACAGCCACACTCAGTTTCAAGCATCTGCACTTTAGAAATGTCTTTCTTTTTCCTTTTCTTTGTTTTTAGGTATCAGTGCTTTAAAAGAGAGTACGCAGAAATATGTATCATTACGTGGGAATTAATATTTGTCACACTTTTCCATTGTGACTGACTAGAATCCTAGTATTTCCTGTCTCACAGAGAGTTCTGCCTTTTCAAAACATAGTAACATCCTTTCTGAACTTTATGGTTTATAAATAAACTGTTGATGACAACAGTTGTCATTAATATTAGATATGATACAAACCACATTTTATAATAATAAAAGGAAAAAAAGCCAACCCTTAAAATACATGAAAGAAGTTGAGAGCTACATTAGTTATAAAGAGAATTTCCCTTAGGAGCATGAGAGGACATAGTGTCTAATGTAGCCCAGGCTGGTCTTAACTCACTACAAAGTAGAAGCTAGACTTGGATTCTTAATCCTCCTGCCTCTGCCTTCATAGTGGAATGATTACAGGCATGTATTGCCACATGTAATATGAAAGAAAATGGCTCCCAAAGGAAGTAGCACTACTAGAAGGCATGGCTTTGTTGGAATAAGTGTGTCACTGTGGGGGCAAAGTTTGAGGTCTCTTCTGTTCAAGTTTCCCCCAGAATGACACACAGTTGACTTCCTATTGCGTGTAAGATATAGGACTCTCAGTTAGCTACTTCTCCAGCACCATGTCTGCCTGTACACGGCCATGCTCCCCACAATAATGGACTGAGCCTCTGAACTGTAAGCAAGCCACACCAATGAGATGTTTCAATTTCTAAGAGTTGCCATGGTCATGGTGTCTCTTCATAGCAGTAAAAACCCTAAGACTCCACAACTGCAAATATTTTGCTTTTTGTAAACTTCTTTTTTCAGGTATCAGTGCTTTGGAAAGGAAGTATTTGGGGGTGAAAAGATACCTCAGTGTTTAAGAGCATGTGTTATTCTTTGAGAGAGCCACAGTTCAGTTCCAAATACCCACTCAGGGTGGCTCACAACCGTCTCAATGTCAGTACCAGAGTGAGGCTGTGTTGTGGCCTCTGAAGGTATATGTACAGGATCCTAAGTACACACCAACTCCAGGAATGCCCACAGTGGCCTGCTTCCATCAGCCAGGACTCACTGATCTTTTGCTTATTACATCTTATGTTTTTGTGTGCATGCATTGTGGGGGTCAGAGGACAACTTTTGGGCGTAAGCTCTTTCCTTCACTGTGTGTCCTGGGAATTGAACTCAGATGGTCAGGCTTGGTGGCAAGTGTCTTTACACTCTGAACCACCTTGCTAGCTCCATGCCTTACTTTTTAAGTGTTTTACAATCTCACACCAACATCTGAGGACCATTCAGTTTTATGTACTTGTACCACTCTGATACCTCGGTGTTCTCTTCTACTGAGAATCACTCACTCACGGAGAATGCACCTGCTACCCTTTTGCAGTTCATGCCCTAAAAAATGACATATGTGGAAGTATCAACATATGATCTTTCTAGCAACGTACCACTTTCATGCTAGACAAAAATGGGAAATAATTTCATTCTGAATGGACTTTTTTTAAACTATGGAAGAAGGCTTCCTCTCAAGACAATCAAATCCACTGGATATTGCACAGATTTGCTGAGTTTACACTATCAACAGTGACTGCACAGACTATGCATAGGAAAGTCAAAGGCCGTTTGTGCCTGCTCTGAAGAACAGAATAAAGAGAAATGAGAGTAATACAGGGCACACTCTGACAGGATGTAAAAACATCACATAACGGAGAGGAGGTAGCGGGTCGCCAAGGCTAAGAAGACACAGAAAGTTTTGAGGAAACGTGACTTCTGTGGTGCTCGGAAGGACAGGTTAATGGAAAGGAACATTATTGGTGGTGAAGGGAGACAGGCTGGAGTAAGCAGTATGTTCTGAGGGGTAACATAAAGATTACTAGAATTACTACAATCACAGGTATGAACTTCATACAGGACTATCAAGAGATTTAAAAACTTTGAAGGAAAGAATACATTAGCAAAGTGAATCATACTGAAAGTTACATCATTAATTTTCCACAGAAGAGGCACAACTAAGGGAAAACTTGACTAAGAATATTTCATCTAAAATGTAGTTAAACACTAAGTTTCAGAAAGTATTTCTGACAGGAATAACTCGTAAGTGTCCAACCTTTATAAACTAAAAAAATTACAGAGTATGTCCTACTGAGTTACAGTATACATCTATGCTCCTTCCAGAAGCAACAGAAAATTAAAATCACTGAAAAGTATTGAGAAGGGGCCAACAAATAGTTCTTTGGGTAAAGGTACTTGCTGCCAGACCCAAGGACCCAAGTTCCAATCCCTTTCAATACATTGAAAGGAGAGACCCAATTTCAACAAGCTGTCCTGCAAGTTATCCTCTGATGTCTACCTAGGCGCTGAGCCCTCTACTCTCTAGATAGATGGATGACTGATGACAGACAGATGATAGATAAATATATATATTTATAGATAGAAAGATAGATAGATATAGACAGATGGTTGATGATAGATAGATGATAGTTAGATAAGATAGATTGATTGATGAGGGAGGTCAACGCAATATGGAAATTAATATATTTATTTACCAGAGAAAGGACTTACACACAAACTGTATGATCAGAAGTGTGGCAGGCTTCCAAAGAGAGAGTACGTTTACTTTTCCTTTCCTTAAATATCCCACCTGTGCCCATTTTCCTGTCCCGGCCTTTTGGGTATGGACAGTGTTGTGGGCTCACCCTTACAATAAATAGATAGGTGATTGATGATAGACAGATAGTGATAGATAGACAGATGATTGATGATAGATGGATATAGACAGATGATTGATGATAAATAGATGATAGATGATTGACGGTAGACAATGATTGATGACAGATGATAGATAGATACAGATGATAGGTAGATGACTGATGATAGATAGGTGACAGATGATAGATGACAGATGATTGATAATAAACAAATGATTGATGATAGATGAGATACAGACAGATGTAAAATAACTTTTTAAAGTATTAAGAAGGAAACAGTTAAAATGAAAAGCATTATATAAATTCAAAATGTAATAAAATGAAGGTGAAGTTAATGGTAAATTACTGTAATTCCTATACTTGGGAGGCTACTACAGGAGAACTTAGTTTCAGACAAGCCTGGGCTACACAGCAAGGCCTTGTCAACTTACAAAAACAAAGCAAAATAAAATAAATTTAATATTACTATATTTTTATTCCCACTGTAACTCTTTAAAACACAAATAAAAGTCTTTAAGAATAAGCAAGCAAGAGGAACAGAAACCACTGAAGATCTTAGTGTAATACTCCACTAAGGCATGGATCAAACAGAGAGCCACTAAAAAGATCTTAGTGCAATATACCATTAAGGCATGAATCAATAGCGTCTCACGAATTTGAACTAGAAAACTATGACATTTAGGACTCACATATCTCAAACCCATTCCTGATATTTGGAAACATAAGGTCACAGACAAATGTCAGAGCTGTCATTAGCAAAAAGGAGCTGAGAGAAATCTCTGAATGCCAAGTCCTATGGCTGATACAAAGCTGATACACTGGAGGAATAGCAGAGGATGATTATAGAGAGATAATAAATGCCTAGTGCTAAACTGTTCACAATTTTTATGGCTATCCCGCCTAGCATAAGGTTCCCCACCTACCCTACCCTTTCTTCTGCCTGCCTCTCCTGCAATTACAGGGCAGGGTCTTGTTCCTGCAAGCCACATCCCCAGGCTTCTGTAAAAGTCTTAAATTGTGTTTGAAGCAAACCATAAACAAAAATCCTAACTGAAAATGGTAATTGTAAGAAGACAAAATCCTCCTCCTCCACCTTTTATCATTTAAGGAAAAAAAAAAAAAGGATTTTTCTGAGACCCAGACACCAGGCATCCTGACTACAGTTGTGACCTTGTTTGCTTGTTTCCTTGTGGTCCTGGCTGAGAACACCAGCCTCAGAGTTACAATCTTTTAATTAAAGCCATCAAGGTGCTTTTCTCTGTAATATCTTACATAAAGCCAGCTATGGAAGAGCATGTATGATTCCATTCGCGTAAAATGTTCAGAATGGGCAAATTTATAGATAAATTAAGCCAGTGTTTTCCCAGAACTGATAACTGGAGAAGGTCAGAATTGGACAGAGAAGATGAGTGACACTAGTGGGTACAGGGTTTCTTTGTAAGGTAATGAAAACATCCAAAGTTGACTGTGGTAATGGTGCATTGTCAACACAATAAAAAGTAGTAACCATACACTTTAAATGAATGAGAAAATGTAATTAGAAAAAATGTTTAAATTTTACATTAGTTGATCGGCATTTCTACATTCACTGAGAATAGGTAAGAACTACTTAGAAATATAAAATTACAGTTCTTTTAACAAAAAAGGTTATGGTCTTCATTACAAAAAGTAGTAAAACTATTAAAATGCCACCGTTCATCATAATTCTTGCCATATGCAGAAGGATCTTGCTGTGAAGAGATGAAATATGATCATCTAACAATTGTGGAAAAGCCACCAGAATTACAGCAGATCTGTGTTCCTGTGTTTTTGCTACTTCTCTCTACCAACCCAAACAAAACAACAGAAACCTGATCCTGCTTAGCAGAGACCCTGCAAACCTCTTTCTGCCCTGGACCTTCTTAGCAGAGACCCTGCAAACCTCTTTCTACCCTGGTCCTGCTTAGCAGAGACCCTGCAAACCTCTCTCTGCCCTGGACCTTCTTAGCAGAGACCCTGCAAACCTCTTTCTGCCCTGATCCTGCTTAGCAGAGACCCTGCAAACCTCTTTCTACCCTGGACCTTCCATCACAAGCACATTTCCACTTCCTCAGCCACTTGTGAAGGCCTCTCAGCCTGGCGTGCCCTGGAGACTGGCTTGTGAAGCTGCGATGAGCAATCTCTTCAGTTCTTTCACCTTTTGCCCACGGTGTGGAGAAACACAGGACTGCACTAATGTGAACTCTGCTCGCCTGCATCAGGCCCTACCAGCTACTGAGGGCTGCAGTGAAGCAGGGCCGATCATGTCACCTCAGTCTCCAACTATGAAGTGAGAGAACGTGGCCACACAGCTCGAGTCTTTCTAGTCTAAGATGCCACACTGTATGACTCCCTACTGAGAGTCTGCCTTAACAGCCACATCTAAAGCTGTTCTTCCCTGTTTACAAAAGCATGTTAAGCCATGCAATCCTACCTTGCTGGCATTGGCTAAGGGTTACTCAGTTATATTCACCTCTGCCCATGCTGCAGACATTTCAAGAAAGAAAACATTCATCTGAACCAGCAAAAAAAGAAAAAGAAAAAAAAAGTGGCAGTGGCCTTTCACGAAGCATCTTAACCACCAAAATATTTGAAGAAATTATTTACTTCAGAAAGTTTTAGAGGAAGAGGAAAAAATAGGCACAACAAGGAAGTATTTCGTAGCATGACTCACAGGGGGCTGCAGTTTTCATGCCATGTAAGCTGAGTGGCACCACTGACTATAATTTATATTCTTCCTTAGACTGTGATGCAAATGTTTGTCAAAGAAACCAATCTTATTAAAGCCACCAAAACAAAATAAAGACACCAAGTTGTAATTACTACAAATATTGCAGGAATTTAAAAAAAGGGCTAAAAATGCATTACATAACTTGATATTAGGAGAGAACCACCGTCTATGCTAAATGGTGTTAACATCTACAATGAACTATTTCCCTAAAAGAGATCACAAGAGTACCAGAAGATAAAACTTACTTGGCTCTAGCTTCTTCAGGTCCTCCAGTTTAAATTCTTCTTGGGACTGTGTGGACTAAATTTAAAATACGCACATTACATCTTGTTACTACAAAGATTTTGCTGTACCCTATGTCTCCTAAGTGGTAAAAACCAAATATTCAAAATAATGCAAAATCTATTTCTTGCTTTCAAGGTAGAAAGTGAAAAGATCCAAACTGGGTTTTGTCTGTTTTGCACTCCCAGAATATTCGGGTTACATGTAATAGAAAAAAAATTATAGTTATATCTTTGATTTCTATAGTTTATAAAATATGAACTAAATCATGTAAGTATGCATGTTACTGATGAATTCCCCTAAGTGTACAAGTCTCCTGAGATGATACAGCTTTAGGCATGAATGCCTACTATTTCAGCAGAACAATCATGTTAGAAAGTTAAGAACACCTCTACTTACCTGTAATGCTGCACTTCTCAATTCTAAACATGTGGCAATTTTGCCTATGGTTTTCTGTAAGGAGATAAAAGAAAATCAGGTAATTTTTTTTAACAATAAGAGGTTTCTAAAATTTTAAAAGCAAGCTAAATCTTATTTCTCTGTAGCATCTGGCAGACTCAAGAGAAAAAAAGGCAGGATGCAATGGCTTGAGATGAGGGAGGTGAGTGTGTGCTCTCCTACAATAACATCCCACAACCAATTCTAAATCAAGGCCACATTGGTGGCGACTCTGAACATAATTTAAAGCGTAATGAATACAGTCGATAATGGAAGCCAACATGGAATTCCTCCCCACTCCCAAGTTAAAAACCAAGGCTGGCATGATGGCTCAGCAAGTGCTTGCTGCTAAGCCTGATGACCTGAGTTTAATTCCCAGAACCCACATGGTCAAAGAAAAGACCTACAAGTTGTCCGTTGATATCCGTATGTATGCTGTGGCCCATACATCCATACACATGCACATACATACATATATACCCACACACATAAATAAAATGCAAAAAAGTCATTAAAAAATTAAAAGAAGAACACTGTCATATGCTCCAGCAGTCCTACTCCTCAGTGTACAAAGGACACAAAATCAGTATGTTCAAGAGATATTTCATTCTCTTGTTTTCTGCAGTCCTATTTAGTTGCCACAAATCAGAAAGCCCCTATGTATCCACTGGCTGACACACGAATAAAGCAAATGTGCTCATCTACACTACAGGACAAGAAATGCCATCATATGGGACTAGGGATCATGCTGAGCAAAGTAAGTCAGGAACAGAAAGGTGGGGACCACGCTCACGCTCATCTGGAGCATTGACAAGTTGTGCCTACAGAGTAGAGAACAGCCTGGCAACCAGAGGCTGGGGAGAGTCAGAGGAAGGGAGGATAGGGAGAAGCAGACAAAGGAGTGCTAAGTTAGTGTAAGACAGGAGCAAGAAGGTCTGCAGTTCTATCACACAGTGGGTGACAACGCATGACAATAATGTATAGTGCACATCAAAGAATCCAGAGGAAGAACTTTAAAGGCAAGGGATGTGGTGTGGTTGGTCGAGTGCTCACCCGACATGCACCAAGTCCTGGGTTCAGTCCCTAGCACAGCAGGGCTAAAACCAGGCACAGGGGCACAGCCCTCTAACCCCAGCACTCAGGGAGTGGCATGATCAAGAAAAGGTTATCCTCAGCTACACAGAAAATCCTAAGCTGGCCTAGGCTACAAAAGCTCCTCACTTTAAAAAATAAAATAAAATAAAATAAAGGTAATTTGAATGTCTCTACAACAAAGATAATAAATGTTTGAGCATGGCAAGTTTTATTTAATTAAATTGTAACAAAAAATTCTTATTAGCAGGGCACGCTAGCTCACCCATGACTTTCTTTAATCCCTGCACTTGGAGGGCAGAGGCAGGAGATCTCTGTGAGTTCATGATCAGCCTGGTGCACATAGCAAATTTAAGGACAGGCAGGGCTACACAGTGAGAAACTGTCTCAATAAAAATAAATGTATTAAAAAATAAACAAATAGATTGAATTGTCCATTAATGTGTACAATTTTAATGTTTTTCTCTGACAGTTAAATTTAAATAGCTGGGCATGGTTGCATATGTCTTTAATCCCAGCTTTAGGTAATCCCAGAGACAGTTGGATCTCTGTGCGTTGGGCCAGCCTGCTCTCCATAGAGTTTCAGGACAACCAGGGCTACACAGAGAGACCTGCCGCAAAAATAAATATGTAAATTAATTAAATAAGAATAAATTCAAATATTTCAAAAAGAATGCCAATAAAAAATGCTCAATACCAGCTGGGTGTTGGTGGCGCACGCCTTTAATCCCAGCACTCGGGAGGCAGAGGCAGGCAGATATCTGTGAGTTCGAGGCCAGCCTAGTCTACAGAATGAGTCCAGGGCAGCCTCCAAAACAATACAGAGAAAGCCTGTCTCGAAAAACCAAAAAAAAAAAAGAAAAAAAATCTCAATACCATACTTTCTTCCGGGCTTTCTTATTTCTTCTCCACTAAGCCTAAAATTCACCAAAAGATTGAAAATTCCTTAAATTATAAATACACTATAATAATGAAATTCTGACTGAAGCAAACTTAGCTTATTTAAATACATAAGTAATACTAAACAAAATCAGTATCTATAATAGTGAGGAATTTTACAGTCAGATATGTTTTATAAAGCAAGATATAAAGTAGACACTAATAGTTCCTGCTTTCAATAAGATCATGTCCCATGTGACAAAAGACACAGAGCCACCAAATATAAAGCATGAGCATGAGAGTCTACAATCCAGACAAGACATGCTAAGGAATCAACCCCTCAGGAGGACTTCTAAAACTAAAGAGTTTAAGAAGGTGACACACAGTTCTCCTGCCTCAAGTCCCAAGAGCAAAGAGAAAGATTTAAAAGGGAAAGTTCTATATTTAGATAGTTTCTTACACATATATTTTTTCTTTTTCTTTCAAATTCTAAGGGCTAGAGAGATGGCCCAGCAGCTAAAAAGTACTGGTTGCTCTTGCAAAGGACCCAGATTCAAGGCCCATTAATGACTTGGCAGTTGATAACCATCTGGAACTCCAACTGCAGAGATCCAACATCCTCTTCTGGCTTCTGTGGGCACCAGACATGCAAGTGGTGCATAGACACACATACAGACAAAACAGCCAAACACAAAATAAAATGTCTTTTAAATTTTAAAAAAGAATTCTATTTGCACTGAGATGTATCAACACACTAAGTATTTAGGAATGATAGTGTTCACTTCTTTTTCTTCTTCATTACAAAATCTATTTCATTTCATACACTTAACACCTAAGATTAAAAATGTAGATCAGCAACTAGGAGTTACTAATAAACTCTTAAATATAAACTTTTATTTTTGGAGAACCAAGAGCCTTTTTATACAGAAATGCACTGCACTATAGCAAAATGTCAAAAGGTATTATTCATAACTTTTTTAAGGAACAACACCCAACCTTAGCATTAAAAATGAACTGGAAGGCTATCATTTCAGCTGTAGCAATAATTTAAACACATGTAGATGCCCTTGCTGACAAAATGATGTACTGCTACTGAGATAACGCACAGAAATGATTAAGTTACCCAAGTCTAGCAGATCAGAGTCCAAGTGCAACAAGACTAAGCACTGGAGAGCCACATGGCTTGCAATGGAACCCTGCTAACCTGAGAGATGAGGTGGAAAGATTCAGCTCCTGAATGTTCTCTGACATACACACATCCTAATAATAAATAAATTTTAAAATAATAATTAAAAAAAAGACTAAGCAGCTAGTAGTAGTGCCGCGTACCTTTAATCCCAGCACTTGGGAGGCAGAGGCAGGAGGATCTCATGAGTTCAAGGCCAGCCTGGTCCACACAGTAAGTTCCAAGATAACCAGGACTACATAGTGATCAAAAAACCCAAAACTGTATGAGCTGAACAAAGGCAAAAACAACAGACATGCCACAGTGGACAGAGGAAGGCAATGAGGCCCCAACCGTCCACAAAGCACTGGGGGAACTCAGGAGCTGATACAAGGGCCGTCTTCCTTAGGGAAGAGCACACCAGTTGGCCAGCCCTGAAAACACACATATAAGTGACATTATAGTGAGCGAGCACATTATGTTTAGGAATATGGATGTATATAAATATACGCATATGCATGCAATAACAATTAAAAAAGAGGCTACGGATTTGAGTTTGAAGGAGGAAATGATGTTATTATATCATAATCTTAGAAGTAAAAGAAATATTAAAAAAATATAAGCTTACTTTAAACCAGAAATCAATGAGAGTATCAAGAATAAATACATATGGAATTTTCATCCTATCTATTACTAAGTTGTATGTTTTAGAAAGATTACTATTTCTGTTTTAGGATTTTTTAATGTGTGAAAAGACTTCACTTTTCACTTCCAGGAATAAGACTCTTCAGATTATCGAAAATACGCTGTTTTCTCTGGGTAGGCTGGGATTTGTAAAGACCTTTCTACTAGTCTGTAGGGTCAGTTTCCCGCTGAGCCTCATTACACTGCAGCATCTGCAATGGCCTACTGCTCTCACTCTCAGTGCTAACATCAATTTCCTGTGTACTCCTACCAGTTCTTAAAGGTTTCATTATTACATTTCTATCCACGCTTTATGATTTTTAGATTTAGAGTTAGTATTGTAAAATGCAAATTATCTTGAAACATATCATTTATATTAAAATAATCCTCTGAGTAAATGCCAACAATCTCAGAGCCAACAAAACTTTTACTTATAAAATACTTTCAAGAGGTTACTAAGAGGTTGAAAAAACTTTCTGCTTCCTGTGGTGGCTCACACTATAATCCCAACATTAGGAATGTAACAAATTCAAGGCCAGCCAGAGCTGCAAAGTGAATACAGGCCATCTTGGGTTACAAAGCTAAGTCCCTGCCTCAGAAAACCACACACACACACACACACACACACACACACACACACACACACACACACACACACACACACACACACACACACACACACACACACACACACTAAATAAAATAAAAATAGGAGGAGGAAAAGGAGGACAGGATGGAAAATAAAAAGAACTGTAGAAATACTGATTTTTTAAAAATTCTTTTGTTGGGTGGTAGTGCATGTCTTTAATCCCAAAACTAAGGAGGCAGAGGCAGGTGGATCCCTGAGTTCAAGGCCAGTCTGGTCTACAGAGTGAGTTCCAGGACAGCTACAGCTACACAGAGAAACCCTGTCTTGTGAGGAAAAAAATTCAGACGGTTACAAACTACTGAATAGCAGATATAATTGGAATCTTTGCCACTGTTACCAAAACACTGAAAACAGTAAAACCATTAAAAACATAAAAAATTAAAATAGAAGACATAAATTAATTTTGCCACAAATAAAATGAAAAAAAATCCACATTTTCTTGAAGAAAATATAATTGGGCTTTTTCCTGTGGTTTATGGGCCATGCACAGCACTTAATTGATTCAGCAGGTCCAACAGTAATTTCCCCACAGTATTTTCTTATGAACACCACAAGGGAGAGTTCCAAACCCAAATAAAATTTAAAAGACTACAACATGCAAACTCTTTAAATTATTCAATGTTACATAAGCATGCTGAAGCCCTGAGAAGTTATATTTCTGATCAAAATATTGATTACTTTTTCAGAACCAATGTTCCCTAGTCCATATCTGGAAGATCATTATTTTTGAGCCATTTATTATTAATAACTCAAGGCCTCTGATAACTACTTCAGCTAAGGTGACAATCAAATAAGCCTATTATGGACAATTGTGCAAGATTCACTTGAATTTTTAAAGAAAATTAAACATTTAGAAGTGTACAGTTTGACTTACATTTATAATGTAGAACATGAAGATACTGGGTCTAATTCCAAGACAGGCAGGCCCAAGTTCTGCCTGGTCATAGCAGGCTTATTGGCAAGTATTTTAAGTAACAATTATTTCAGAAATCCAGTGGCCAGGAAACAATGTGACACTTCCCAGGTAAAGCTATTAGAGATTTAGGGATACTATCTTTTAACGTCCTGAAGAACTCAAACCCCTAATCTCATAAGGACATGTGGGCCTGGAACCTGAGCTGTGTGGCTACTCCAGGCCAGCCTGCCTCCAGTCTTTCCAAGTGCAAGATCTTGAGTGCTGTAAGCATCTAAGTAGAAAAGGCCGGACTGCGGGAAGAGCTACAAACTGAAGGGTGAACAGCATTACCAAATACTCAGAGGGCTTAGTCTCAGGCTAAAGAAAACGGTGGAAAAGTTACAATTGCTTCCTTTAGCAAAATCATGATAGATCCGTTTTTTAATTTATTATTTTCCTTTTTTAATGATCTTAATACATTTTTAGCAAGTCAAATCACTTTATATTTGAGGTTGATGTTGGGAGACAAAGAATAAGTAACCTAAAGTGAAGAAATTACTGAGCAAAATATGAGGCCACTGAAATGTTTAATGCCTTAGGTTTCTTTTTCCCTTCCATGTTTATAACTTTATTAACTATTAATTCATGCACCTAGATACTAAAACTCTGTTGATCAGAATTTAGACATCCTAAATTGTTTCAATCTTATGATGCTAACTGGTTACTCAAGGCAGATTTAACAATCTGAGAGAAAGGGGAGACTATAGCTTTGCCCTCTTCCTCAAGGAGATCACTCATCTCCAATGTGGTATTTTCCATGGTGAAAATCTAGTTTTCTGTGCATATTAACAGTTATCAAGGAAGGAAACAAAAATAATCTTTTTAAATTGTAGCAACATGAAAATTTAAAATACCAAAAAACAAAACAACAAAACACCAGCAAAAGCGATTCTTAAATATATTTGAGATGTGCATATACTAACTTGGGCAAGAACGTGCTAATCTTGGTGATCTTCTCTGTCTTAAACACCTACAACTAAGAGTTAATGAACAGAACCTCATGGACTAAAGTAAATTCGCTGAGGCTTAACCAATTGTGCCCCCCAAATCACTAGTTCCCCTTGTGCAGAAAAAAAAATTAATACAAATGAATGAAGTCACCAGTTTTTAACACAGCTCTGTCTTAAGAGATTTGGGGTACAATATGGGCATTAACATTTTCCTTACTATTCAAAAGATTAAAAATTAATTTATTACTATAGCTACCCTGAGTCAGGAAAAATCTGGAGTTATTTCCTCCCTTTTCCCAATCTTCAGGAATGAATGTCCCCTTTTTTTGTTTGTTTGTTTTTTTCAAACATCTCTAATGGGGAATCAACTTGACACACACACACACACAAAATCTAAATTAAGGAGAAAGAACACCATTGAAACTTTTTGCAACATTTTCTGTTTTACTCATAGATTTGAAGGTCAAATTTTTTTCCTCCTGAAACAGGGTTCCTCTGTGTACCTCTGGCTATCTTAGGACTGGCATCGTAGACCAGGCTGGCCTCAAACGCAAAGATGCACCTGCCTCTGCCTCCCAAGTGCTGGGACTTGTGGTGTACCATCGCTGCACTGCTTTCTTTTCGGTCTTATCCTCTTTGCTGGTATCTGGTTGGGTATAGTTTGGAAGTTTGAGGGTGATTACTGGCTTACTTTGAGAGAAATAAGTGTGAGGTGGAATGTAATTATTTATAACCTTGGTTCCCCAGTACAGTCTGGGTTTCCCCATCTTACTCAAAGTGAGAATGGCTGAATAAATAAATGGTAGGTCATCTCCAAATGACCAGTTACTGTGAGGAAAAACATAATCCATACTCAGTTTTTTTAAAATTTACACATAACAGAAAGGGGGCGGGGGAGCGTGTGTGTGTGTGTGCGTGTGTGTGTGTGTGCGCGTGTTGCTTAACAGACCCAAAAGATAGGACTCTCCTTTTCATTTGGAATCAGATGTACCAGAGATTGTTTTATGGTACCTTTTGCTCTTCTGTGAATTCAGAATTATTGTGTTGAGCCTGGGCCTCCTTCTGTAGGTGTCTTGCTAATCTGTAAGAAGAAAACATTGTTTAGAACTGAAAGCAAGCAAGCTATCTCAACAGCAGCAAGACGATACAGGTCAATCGTTTAAAACAGTGAAGCACAATGCTTTGTTGTAATGCCAAGTTTCCCTCACCCTGAGAAGCAAACTCTAAATATGCCACACTACTTTTCACACCCTACCACTGGGCAGAATTTGAGCCAAGACAGTAAAAGCAGAATGCCAGGGCTGGGGAGGTCTCCAAGGGCATTGAGTCCAGCCCTCCTTGGCATGAATGAACTCTTCTGTAACCAGCCAGAGGTGGTTATCCAAATCCAGCTTTGAATCTACACTGAGCACCAACTGCTGCACTGCCTACAGATGCTTTATCAATTATTAACTTGATGATTAGTCCAAGCCCAAATTACATCCATGACAAAGTGTGAATACCAAAATCTGGTTTTGAAGGTACTTGTTTTTGGGGAAAATTCCATCATTCATAAACAGAAATCACTGATTATCAAATTATCCTATTTAAAAATGGCAGCTATACCGGGGGTGGGGGGATGGAGGAGATGGGAGGGTGGGAGGTGGTGGGGGTCATAGGCTCATACCTTTAATCCCAGCACCTGGGAGGCAGAAGCAGGCAGATCTCTGTGAATTTGGAGACCAGCCTGGTCTACGAGAGCTAGTTCCAGGACAGCCTCCAAAACAACACAGAAACCCTGTCTCGGAGGAAAAACAACAACAACAACAAAAAGCAGCTATGGGCTAGTGAGAAGACTCAGTATCTGCCTCCAAGCCTGATGACCCAAATTTGATCCCCAGAGCCCACATGGTAGAAAGAGGGAACCAACTTCCCCAAGTTGTCCAGTGACCTCCACATACGTGCTATACACATGCATGCAAATAGCAGGCCATCTGAGAGTTTTCAAGGTTGGATCAATGTTTCTACTCCAAGATCAACAATAAGGATCAAATCTATTTGTTAAATAGCAAAACAAAAAGGACCAACACTTAAAACACACACACACACACACACACACACACACACACACACACACACACACACTGGGGGAGGGGGATTCTGGAGAGATGTGAATCCAGCCAGTAAGAACATAAAAAGACTCATATCATTAAGTCTTAGGAAAATGCATACCAAATGACAAGCAATCCTTCACAGCCAAAGATGACTATGATTTAAAAAAATAAAACAAAGGAAGAAAATAACAGGTGCTTAAGAGGATGAACAAAAAGCAGGAACCTCAAATATTGCTGATAAAAAATAGAAAATGGTATCAATCATATAGAAAAGTTTGATAGTTTGTCAAGTAATTAACTACAGACTTACTATAAGACTCAGCAATTTTATAGCAGGTATACATAAAAAACACTCAAAATATATGTTTACATGAAATATTTGTATACACTGATGCATTACTCATTAACAACTGAAAAGTAGGAACAACTAAAATGCTCATTGACTAATGAGTGAATAAATAAATTGTGGTACACCCATTCAATGAAATATTTTTCCTTAGGGCTGGAAAAATAGCTCAGCAGTTAAGAGCACAGGTTGCTCTTGCAGAGAAACCAGGTTCAATTCCCAGCATGTGGCAATTTACAACCATCTGTAACTCCAGTCCCAGGAGGTCCAAAACCCTCTTCAGACTTCTGTGCACACCAGGCACACATGTGTTACACATATATACATAGACAAAACACCTACACACATAAAATAAGTATTATTCAGTCATAAAGAGGACTGAAATTAAGGTAACATGCTATAATATGAACTTAAAAATACTATGCTAAATGAAAGAAGCCACATTAAAAGACTATGATTCCATTCATATGAAAAGTCCAGAATAATAAACCCATTGAGAAAAAAATTATTGGTAATTGCTGTAAGTATCCAGGCATCTGTTCTGGCCTGCCCTTGGGGTTCTGACAGGATTTGCTCTCAGCTTCAGCCACTAAGAGCACCACCTATGCACACTTACTACTTCCCTTCTAAAAGGGCCCTGCCCACCTTCCATCCTTCTCTTCCTCATTCTGTTCTGCTCTCTCCTCCCTTCTTTCATCTCTTCTGTTGCTCCTGTCTCCAGATGGCTGGTCTCCCTCCTCCCCTTTCCCTTTTTTATGATCCCTTTCCCTAACAACAACACTCTCTGTTGGAACCCTGCTCTCGAACACTGTTTTTCTTCCATTACAACAGTTGCTTCTACCCATATCTTATTTTCTCCTAAAACTGGGAACATATTTTTCTCCCTAAGTAATATTCTCAGACTTTCATGGTCTGAGACAAGACAAGGTATAGAGAAAACCAATATGGTCGTTTTTGTTCAGGATTCATGCTGACCTGCATGGAGCATTTCCTGGAAATGCAGTTTATAACGTTATAAATCAACTATATGCCCTTGAATTTAGGAGCACCACACTGTGACATGGTTGCTCAATCTGAATAAATATACACATAATTTACTAATTGTGGTTATTAGGTCAAGCAGGGTGATCATCAGAAGAAAAATGACAGCTTTAAATTCTTGTTCAGATACTAATAAGCAATAGAAAGAACATTACATTCAAATAGAACCCAACACACAAAACGTAGACAATAGACTGGGAAGATGTATTACAAAAATAAAGGATTTACATCCAGAATATATAAAGAACCTTTAGAACTTCAAATGTGCAAGATAATTCAGTCTTTAAAAAGAGACAAAAGATTTGGAAGGTAACACAAAGATTTATAGAGGGAAAATAGACATGAAAAGACACTCAACACCATTAGTCACTAGTGAAATGTAAATTAAAACCATGGTGAGGTATGTTACATGCCCTCTAGAAGGATGTAATTAGACAGACAGACAGTACCAAATGCTAGCTATGTGGGGGGGGGAGGGGATCCTCTCATTGCTGGCAGAACTATGAAATGCTACCCCTATTCTGGATAGTAATTCAACAGGTTTCCTTGAAAAGTCACATATTTAACATAAGATCCAGCAATTGTACTCACTGGTATCTATATACTCAGAAGGAATGAAAATGCATGCTTACATGGGCTGGAGAGATGGCTCAGTGGTTAGCAGTGCACACTGCTCTTGCAGAGTACCTGAGTCTGGTTTCCAACACCCATATTAGGCAGCTCACAACTGCCTGTAATTCCAACTCCAAGAAACCCAGACTTCTGATCTCCCAGCTTCAGACACTTACACACATGTGTGTATACAACCCCCCTCCACATAATTAAAAATGAAATTTAATTTTGAAAAAGAATTTCATGCAAATGTTTAGGGCAGAATTGCAGATAATAATCAAAATTCCAATGTTCAATAATAACTAGTTTAGTGGGCACATGAAAAGTGGTGCACCTACACAATGTAACATTTTTGTTCCCTAACCAAAAAAATAAGGCATGCTAAGTTAATCTTAGATTATGTTAAATAAGTCACCAAGAATATGGCGTGAATGCAAATGAGCAAAAGGGACCTTTGGACGGGACGGGAATGTACTAAATTCAGTGTGGTGACAGTTGCACAAGCTGGTGCATGTAAAATGTGTCAGTTTTGTGGTGTGTAAGTTATATCTCAACAGTTTTAGTTGTTGGAGGTGGTGGAGTTTTACGTTTTGGATCGGGTCTTACTATGTAGCCTTCCCTGGCTGGCCTGGAAATGGCTGTGTAGATAATGCTAGGCTCTAACTTGTCTGCCTCTGCCTCTCAAGTGCTGGGATTTAAAGCAAACAAAGGACAAAACTCCGTTTTTCTTAATGTTTCACATATTTAAATATATAACCCAAATTTCCTGTGAATGGAATCCTACAAGTGAGACCTGATTCTGCGCACTGAAGGAAAAGATACATGCTGTGGATAACCAGATGAACAAACGAAAGAGTTGGTTATGGGTAATGGTGAGAAAATAGTCCAATGTTCTTCTCTAGGCCATGGATCCATGGTTCCACAGTTCACAGCACTTGCTGCCCAATCCTGACAACTAGAGCTGGACCCCCAGTACCCACATAACTAGCCAGGCATCCCTAGCACAGGTTATGGAATTTGCCTTCAATGTGACAAAACTAGCCATATGGCCAAGAAACTGCTCTCACCTGGACTACCTGACTGTATGCCATATATACTTAGAGAAGGAGATTCCACATCAAAGTGGCGTGATGAGAATGCCTACTGTACACACAAGTGCACAACTCACATGAAAGCAAATAAATCTTTAAAATTTCTCTAGAGACTCTTCTTCTCCTACAAATGAAACAGGACTGCTCTCGGGAACTGTCTTTCATATACTTCAAGCACATTAGTGACTTGACAGGAACCTTATCACTATAGACAGAAATTAGCGTGTCTCAACCAACCTAGCAAAGAACTAGGTTTTCTCTCCACCAGTTCTTGGCTGATACTTTGCAGATATAAGAACCACACTGCAAACAGGCGGGCGGGACAGCTCAGTGGGTAAAGCTGCCAAGCCTGACAACCTGGATCAATCCCTGGGACAGACATGGAAGGCGGGACCTCAATCCTGCTAGTTTTCATTGACCTCCATATAGAGGCACCAAGCACACGTGTGGGGTGCAAAAATACATCCAGGCAAAACACTCATACACATGAAACAAGCTTAAAACTAAAACATAGTATTCTTAAAGTGAAAGTACATACACTATGCCACCAGCATTGCCCTCTATATACTGTGTGACCATGAAGACAGTATGGCTGCCCAACTATCCTAGACCTCGCCCTTCAGTCTTGATATCCAGCCAGTGACCAAGTAGTTGTGTGCATCATTATCACCGTCCCCAACTGGCCTCCTTGGCTTCAGTCTTTCCTCCCAAAGAGTGTATTCAAAAAAATGAGAAAAGACAACTTGTTTCTATTTCTGGTAGCTGTAACTTCTTGGCCGCATTTATGTGTAGCCCGAGTGTTACAAAGTTTAACCCAATCACTAATTTCTATTGAAATCTGACAGTGCAGTTTTGTAATAACGGGAAGAGTATTCTGCAGCTCTCCAGCAGTGGTCAGTGTGGAGACTCCAAAGGGTTTGCACGGGCCTGTTACTCTCATTCCCACTAAGCAGTTGCCTGCTCAATTTTCCTTTGTAATGTCAATTAGACATGGTATTCTTCACTTTCCACAGGGAGGTTTGCTGCCCAGTACCAACAGCTGCTGGGTCCACTGCATCACAAATGAGAGGCAGCTTTGCATTTCAGGGTGCGCCACTTTGATTACTATAGAGGGTGATAACACACAGACCCTCATGGGTTACCTGATCAAGGTATACAAGAGCACAGTCTGCAAAATTTATCCAGTTTATTTTTCAGGGTTACTCTATCAATGTTTTATCAAGCCAAGCACTTTGTTATTAACTCAGATATCAACCAAAAGGGACTAAAGTTAGAAAAAAAACACAAACAGATTTCAAATGTATTATGTTGTGTCACCAGTTTTCTAATTTTGTAAAAAGAATTCCATCCCTAGTGGGCAGTCACAAAAATCACATGGGAGTTCCAAATACATGTTAATAGTTGTCCAGCATGGCAAAACACCCAAAGTACTGCGTTTTTCAATCTATAGACCATTCTGTCAGTTAAGACAGGCAGAGAACACCTCTATATACAAATTATCTCATGGACTGACCCAAAACAAGTAGCTTTTAGGGAGAGGATAAAAGTTTCAATTTTCCAAGTACCAATCCTGTACTATTTCCAGAGAGATAGGGATGGTTTCACAATTTGACAAACCTCAAATAATTTATTTCAAAAGCAAGAATTAATGGTAACAGTGTGCAAACAATAGCATTTAATGAGCAGTTTCTTTTAGGAATAAGTCCAAGAAACTAAGCAAGATGTTTATACACAGTTATTTCTTTTTTCTTTCTTTAGTATCTAAAGCTTAACTGGGAGGCACCAGAAAGAGATAATGAGACTTGGGTGATGAAGGAAACCAGTCCTCACATGTACCCCGAGGCTATACATTGCACACAGGAAAAGGGGGAGGGACCCAAGGAGGGAGTGGCGGCCCCTGTGCCTGGTCTATTAATTCACATTTTGCTCCCCTCTATTCATATCCTGCGCGGACTCCACCCAAAGCAGCCAAGCGAGAGGGTGGGTGGGACTCACAACCTAGCAAATAACAGTCCCAGAAATCGAAAACGAAATCGAGTCGGAATTGTGAAAACACCGCTCACCAGACAGAGGGGTGGAGAAGGAGCTCGAGTAGCGAGAAGCGAGTAGGGACCCTACTCTTGGCAGGACAGGCATCTCTTACCCTTCCCAGGGGCAACCTCCACTCCCGCGCTAGCAACCCCTTCTCTCCCACACGTGGAGAATGGAAGACACACACACGCAGAACATGGCCACTCATCCCCGGAACGTGGGCGAAGAGCACACAAGTATTCCCAAGGGATTTTCAAAGACTTTTTTTTTTTTTCCTGGAGGGGTGGCGACCGGAGAAAGGCGGCGGGAAGGAAAGCGGACTGCCTGCCTGCAGAGCCCACAGGGCCCGTGAGAAGATCGAAGGGAACTAAGGGGAGAGCCAGTTGGGGCCCCAGCTACCTGTTGAATGGACCCGGCCCCGTGCAGAAGAGAGAAGATGCGAGAGCTTCCCCGGAGGGCGGACGGGTTGTCCCCAAGCAGCCGGATCAGGGCCCGTGGGATCTCAGCCCTGGTGCTTGTGGGGGCCCCACCCCAAAAAAGCCTGCGCTGCGGGACCCAGTGATGTGAGACCCGGGCAGAAACAAGGGGTGGCGACCTGCCCGGCCCGTTCCCGCGGTTAGTCACTCACATCTGATACTCGTCTATCGCCTCCACCAGCTGGCCCCAAGAGTCGAAGTCGGCGCCTCTCCTAAGACTGGCGCCCCAGCGCTGCAGCAGACTCCGGGTCACCTCCGACATGGCCGGTCCCCGCCCCGGCCCCCTCCCGCCCCTGCCCCAGCAAGACCGGGCTCTAGGGCGCCATCCTCCCCGGGCTTGGCCCTGACATTAACAGGGCCAGGAGGAACCGCTAGGGCCACCACCGCCACCCGCCGAGGAGCCGCCCAAACCCATTTGCCGCCACAGCCAAACTTTGCAGCTCCAAGGCGGCCGCCCCGCCGAGGCCACGCCCCCACGCCACGCCCCAGTTAGGTTGAGGCCGCCCCGATCCGCCGAGGCCATCGCTGCGGCGGCATCCGGCCTTGGCTCGGGGACGCCCCCACGCCACAGCCCTCCCTCCCCAGGGCCCAGACAGGAGCTGCAGAGCTGAGAGCAAGCCGAGTCTAGAAAGGGTAGGCAGGCGGAGCGAGCCCAGGGGCCGCCACCGCGCGGCGGGACCCGCCCCTCTGAGACACGCGCGGCCGCCTCCGCGGCTGGCGCGGCCCCCGGTCACGTGACGCCTGCTCGCCGCTGGGCCCGCTTCCGGCCTCTCTAGCCCATTGGTCTCGGTGCTCCCGGAGCCTTCCTTGTCTCGCTGGCGGACTCCGTCCCGCCTTCCTTTCGTCCCGCAGGAACGGCGTCGTGCGGCCTCTGAAGTCCCCCCGGGAAGCGTGTCAAGAGGTGTGCGAGCCCGGGATCTCCCTCCCCTCGGGTCCCTGCACTCCAGTGTGTGTGTGGGGGTCCCCCCCTTCTTTGGGGCTTCCATTGGCCCTGGGATGGTAGTCGGTGGAAGAATCGACGGTATTGACAGCTAGGTCGGCCGGCTCTCCTCGCCCGGCGTCTCCTTCGGCTGTTAGAGGGCTTGCTAGACGCGGACTGGTGGCTTGGCCTTCCGAGGTTGACCGGGTCGGTGTGCCACCCGAAAGGCCTGACCGCGCTCCGGAGGAGGGTGCGTGGGGTCGCGGCCCTGACTCAGTAGTGCACCCGGAGGAAGAGGCCGGGCGGTAAACAGGAAGTGGGTGCGGGCCGCGTCTAGACCGCTGCCCGGCTCCGGGGAGCTCCCGAGTAGGGAGGGGGGGGGGTGTCAGCAGGCTCGGGCGTCCTGTGGAGGTCTGGCAGGTGACCTTCTGTATTCGGGGTTGTACTGGGGGCTCTGCAGGCTCTAGAGGACCGGTGGGTGTGTCGTCCTTCGACCCCACCCTCCGAGTTCTTGAGACCAGAGGAATGCCGGGTCACCAGAGTGTTTGAGGGATGGAGCCGAGTTACAGTCATTAAAAGAAACGGTGGCGGAAATTTTATTTTCACAGATGTCCTTGGAGCATGGTAGACTCACCTAGTGCTGCGTTTGCGTAGGTTTTGAAGGTGGTTTGCATAGACGCTGTTTTGGTGGCATGTTCTGAAAGGGCTTGTTAAATGTTTTGAGTCCTAAGTGGATCTGCCCAGGCTTTCACTGAGTATGTAATGCATTCTTTGTTCGTTAAATACCTGGTGCTTCCCAAAACCGATTTTGCAATGAGTCTAACTTGAATGATGCATAATGTTGATATTTCAGAACGCTGTACCCCTCCACACTCCCTCTGCCCCCAGTAGAGGTTAATTGAAAACCTTAAATTATATTTGCCATATCAGAATTGCTTCTGTATTTCTTCTGGAATCTAATGAGGTGTTTGAGACTTCGGTTTGGAGCCTTCTTGTGTCACTAAATGCGTTACCTACCCAGGAACTTGAAAGAGCTCATCTGGTGCTGTACCTTCTCGTTTGCAGCTATCCAGCCAAAGTCTCAGCTTTGCTTCTCAGAAGTGTAGACAGGAGCCTGCAGAGTCAGCGTCTCAGGCTCTCCCCCAGACCAGTGAGAACACATTTTAGCAAGACTCACTTACCTCCAGGTGATTTTTGTTTAATGTGTTTTAAAGTCAAATATTAGTACTCTTCTGTATCTTATCACTCAAGTTATACTGAAGAAAATTGATTTTCTTATGTAGATGTAATCTGTGGTATATTATATGTGTATAATGTTTTGTGTATAGTAACTTATTCATAAAATGTATATATCTTGTAAAATATCCAGTCCTTACTGTGTCTTTTTCCTGCCTAATGTTCCTTCAATTTTATTGTCTCTTCTTCCTGTAGAAAACATCTTGAGAAAATGACCCATTGGTTTCACAGGAACCCATTAAAAGCTACAGCTCCTGTGTCTTTTAACTACTATGGCATGATCACTGGTCCTCCTGCTTCAAAGATTTGCAAGTAAGTATTAGTGCAACTTAAACAGTGTTGGTTGGTTAGTGATTCAAGGTACTTTATAAGTTCCGTGATGAATACAAAATGTGTGACACATTCCTAACATTAAACTCCTGATAAATTTCTATTTTATCATCAACAGATGAAGATTAAATCATGGGGTACCTAAGCTTTGGGAATCATTGAGGCCACATTCTTAATTTCAGATCAGTAAATGAGTCCTAGAAGGGTTAAATCAGTAACAGTGAAACTATATTTCAACAGAGCCATAAGATAGGATAGAAGTATTATCAATAGGCTTGAGACTAGATTATTTACGTTCCAAGCAGAGAAAGATTCCTTTGATTTCAAATGGCCTTCAATGTAGTGACTATAGGAGAAAGCACTTGAGCTGAGGTTCACATAAATTGTTTAAGTGATATCAGGAGTTGGCAAACTATGCCCACTCTGTTAGGCCCACTGCTTCTTTTGTCTCTGATGTGTGTTCTCCCAAAGCTCAACATGCCCAAAGTTAAATTCATCTTAAAATGGTACAAATTGAGAAAAGCATGCCTTAGAAATATGTTATTTAGGCTCAGGCAGATCTGAGTTCGGATCCCGAGCATCCACGTAAAACATGGACAAGATGGTATACCTCTGGACCCCAGCACAGGGTGCAAGATGTTTGTGGAGACTGGTAGATCCTAGAGCTCTCTGTCTAGCAGGTTTAGCCAAAATCGAAAGTGCTGGGTTCAGTGAGAGACCCAGACATCCAACCTCTGACTTCCACATGTGCCCAGGCATGAATATTTGCATATGTGTGCACATACACATGCTAACATGTATTTAGAATGAGAAAATTTGCAAATGACTTTGAAAATATTCAGAGTATAATATATTATGCTTTCTATGTGTTTACAATTTAAATTTAGTCTTCAGCAACTGAAACCTATTTTAAATGTCTTATGTCAATGTCCATTTAATGTGATTTCTGGCGCTCTCATGGCCCCCTGGATTAGATGTGGATGCAGATTAGAGATGCTGTAGATGCAGAGAGGCAGTCATTGAAGACGTAAGAATAGAGATCTCAAAAGAGACTGGTGTTATTATAGGTGGGAGAGAAATGGAGACATAGAAAGGAAATGTTGAATGTGGAGGAACATCTCGAAACTGTAGTGCTCACTGTGACTGTGGGGTAAAGGAATTGCAAGAAGGAAAGGTGGATACAAGGCACAACACACTTTTTGTTACAGAGAAGAATAGCATGTAGGGGGCACCTGGTATTTTAACCTAATGGCCATACAGTTTTACATTTTCTGCATGTATATATGTTCATCCACTATGTTAGATAGATATTTTGTGTGTAGTGCCAAATTTAGAAATTCAAAACGGTTATTAAAATCATATATAAGTACATTAAATTTCTGTTTTCCCCAGAACTATTGGCTAAAGAATGAAGAATGGGCCAGGCACTGACAAACGCCTATAATCCTAGCTAGCACTCGGGAGGCAGAGGCAGGTGGATTTTTGTGAGTAATACCAGCCTGTTCTACACAGCTAGTTCCAGGACAGCCAAGGCTACACAAAGAAACCCTGTCAGAAAAAACAAAATACATAAAAAAATGAAGAATGAACTTTGCATACGCTCAGTTGTTGTTTGTGTTAATGGAGACATAGTCTCAGCTAACCTGAGCTGACTCAGCCTTGCCTTGGTTCTGTGCTAAGGATCCCTCTTCCACCTCCCAAGCACTGCAGTACAGATTTGTGTTGCCGGGCCTGGGTGACAGTTTTGTTTTTAAAATTGCTTTATATTTTTATTTTACAATTGGATGCATACATTGCCCCTTTACTTAGACTGAGTTTACTTTCTTACAACTTTTGAAGCAATTATTACTAGAAACTACATTTATTTCTAACATTGGCCCTAATTAAATTTATTCCTTGGAATTGATACACAGGTAATGAAAGGGAGCAGGGAATCTGTGTGTGTGTGTGTGTGTGTTTTAATCCTTTAAGTTGTAGCCTCTGAGCTGTTTTTACATGGTCTTTGAAACACAACTTACTTAGCTTTACTGTCTGTTAATTAAGTGATTTGAGATCATCCAGGACTCGGCTCCTCGAATTGTTCACTGATTTGAGCTGTAATCCGGAAACGATGAAGAATGCAGCAGACTTGTATTTCTCACTTTTACAAGGTTAGTGATTTTTATAAACTTAAACATTTCTAAAAACTAGCTATGTAGCAGTGTACACTTGATTTTTCAGATACAAGTGGTTTTACCTCCCAGGCTATATTTGGAATGATTGCTTCTCAAATGTAACATTGTGGTGGTGGTACATGGTCTTTCTAACAGTCTAAAAATCGGATGTGTAGAGTATAGTCTTCCTTGCCAATCACCTGGGCCCTGCCACAGTTACAGTCCCCAAATAACACACAGGACACTGTATTAATTATGAAGCTGTTGGCCGTTTGCTTGTTTCTTACTGGCTAGCTCTGACCTAAGTATTTAACCATAAATTTAATCTTAAGTATTTCTCTTATTGAAGAAAAGGGTCAGGACCTCTTACTCTGGCGGCTTACATCGTATCTGAATCTGCCTCTCTTTCCCAGAATCCTCCTTGACTCCTAGTCCCACTTGTTTTGCTTCCCTAAGCAGCAGTGCTTTATTCAACAACCAATAAGAGATTTACAGAATGACAACTCCCATCCAGGATGTGTATATTTCATGTTCTGTTATTATATATGTAAAATGTGGGAAGGAGAAAAGTTCCAGAATGTTCATTCAGGCATCTGAAAAAGTAATTGTATGAATAAAACCAACTTTTTTGGTCGGGGGGCCGGGGGTTCAAGACAGCATTTCTCTGTATAGCCCTGGTTGTTCTGGAACTCGCCTTGTAGGACAGACTGACCTTTGACTCACAGAGATCCTCCTGTCTGTCTTCCTGGTGCTGGGATTAAAGGTTACACCAGGT